TCGGTTCGAATTCGGTTAATTAATCAAATTAACCGAAATTAAATTTTAAATTTTAAATATATTATATATAACATATGAGCTCAGCCTAAACCATTTAAAACTCAATTAATAATTTAAGATCCAATAACTTTTAAACCTAAATCAATATTAATTAATTAAAAAATTTATATAAAATTTTTATTTTATAATTATATATTATTTAAATTAATTATAAACTTTTTTTAAATTAAAAATATTAAAAATATTATATATAACATATGGGCTAAGCCCAAACCATTTAAAACCCAATTAATAATTTAAGATCTAATAACTTTTAAACCTAAATCAAAATTAATTAATTAAAAAATTTATCTGAAATTTTTATTTTATAATTATATATTATTTAAATTAATTATAAACTTTTTTTGAATTAAAAACATTTAATTTTTATATAAATTAGAAAATTTTGAAAAAATTTCGGTTAATTCGAAAATTAACCGAATTAACTGAAATTTATTCGGTTCGGTTAATATTTTCGAAAAAAAGTTCAGTTCGGTTAATGGTTAAAGAAAAAAAAAGTTCAGTTAATTCAATTCGATTCAATTCGGTTTTAACCGAATGAACAGCCCTAGCACTCATCCTATTTTGCTATGATTGAGTTGATTCTTTTAAATGTTACAATCATACAAAGTGTCGTAACCGTCTTTCGGTTGGGCCCCGGAATTGGGCTTCGACTTGAAATGAATTGGGTTGGAGTCGCCACCGACCACTTTAAATCGAATTTAGGTGGGTCGGACACCATCTTACCTGATCTGCGTTGTACCAGAAACGTATCGAGTTCGGGAGTCGGTTACGGTCAAGGAAGGATTAGCACCCTTGAACCGCCCTTTCGGTACCGATTAATTTGCCGGTTGTCTTTAATTGTGAAAATTGAAAAATTTAAATTTAAATTTGAAAATCCGATTCTTGTTACTTACCTTTGACCGATTAAAATTTCTCTGAAGAAGATAAAAAATGTTAGAGAAAAAAAATCAAATAAAAAAAAATCAAAATGAAAACAAAAGAAAAAGAGAGAGAAAAAAAATTAAATAAGGAACAAACAATAAGTAAAAAAATGATAAATAGAAATTAGATTTAAAAATAAAAAAATGATGATTTAAAAAGAAAATAGCAAATGAATAAAGGAAAAAAAATTAAAATTTGAAATCAATAAATAATAATAATAATGACGAAATAAAACCTAGAGGGTCAAATTGAGATCGATTGAAATTAATGGATTAGATTGGTATTAAAATGAACTACAAAAGAAGAAATAAAAAGTTAGGTGCCAATTCAGAAAACATATAAAATATAAGTAGGGACTGAATTGAATAAATCGAAAATTCAGAGGCCAAATTACATACAGTGACCAGATTGTAAAACGATTCAAAGTTCGAGGGATGGCGGAGAAGATTTAAAAATCCTGTAATTTCACTATGGTCCTCAGTATATAAATAGCCAAAAACGCCCATTTCGATTCATTTCTCTCCATTTTCCAGACTTCTTCTTCTCTCAAATGAGAGATAACTCTCTCAAACAGCCCTTCCTCGGGCGATATCCGGCCACCGTCTGGTGGCCCACTCAGCCGCACCGCCGTCGCTCCGGCTGCCGCTTGTGGCGGCCGAGAAACCCACACTCACCTAGAAGCTTCCTATCGTCACCCCAAAGCCGAATCTGTCCTCAAAACCGCCAAAGAGCCACTAGATCGGAGTAAATCTAAGGCGAAAGGTTTTACCTTTTCGTCGTTATTTCACCGTTTCACAGTGACTGCTGGTTTTTTCCTTTTGCCTTGCTTGCTGTATAGGTTTTCTTGGATTTTTCTACTGTGAGGCTTCGGCCTTTGGTTTTATATTTTTTGTTGTGTATGGTTTCGTTTGTTCTCAGTTTCGTCTGTGTGGGTTGGCTTTCGATTTGTTTGACCGTGGTGGTCTCTATAGATTTTGGGTACTGTTGATGGTTCTTCGGTTTACTCTGGATGTAGTTTTGTGGTTTGATTTGTTGGCCGATGATTATCTGCTTGCTGTGGGTTCTGGTTTCGCTCGGTTTTACCGTGGCTATGGCTTTCGATGTTCTCGCCCTCCCCTGTACTGTGTTGGTCGTGGGTTTTTATAAACCCCACCGGCCGTTGTGAGTCTCGACGATCTCGGGATCGTGGTTGTTGTGGCCAGTCATCCCGGGATGGGTCAGTCCCGGGGATCTCGGCCGGCCGTTGGCACTGTTGACCGTTTGGCTCCCTGACTGCTTGGTGACTGAAAACTGGGAACCCTAATCCCTTGCTGGGCTAGTTCAGGCCCAAACTTGGACTGGATTCTTGAACATGGACCCTGCACAAAAATAAATGAGAAATAAATAAATTAAAAATAAAAATAAATAATAATAATATATATATAAACGTTTTCAAAAACATATAATATATAAATTTTAAAAATGTTTTTTAAAAAAACTATATATTATATATATTTTCAAAATGGTTTTTAAAAATTATATATTATATAAATGTTTTCATAACGTTTTCAAAAGTATATATTATATATATTTTAAAACGTTTTCAAAAACTATATATTATATAATTTTCAAAAAATATATTTTCAAAATGGTTTTAAAAATTATATATTATATAAATGTTTTCATAACGTTTTCAAAAGTATATATTATATATATTTTAAAAACGTTTTCAAAAACTATATATTATATAATTTTCAAAAATATTTTAAAAACTATATAATATACATATTTTCAAAAAATGTTTTAAACTATATATTATATATGTATTTTCAAAAACAATTTGCAAACTATATAATATATATGTGTATATATGTATAAAATAAAAAATGTGGACGGAAATTAGTGTCTACACAAAGCAATATTCCTATTTAATCAGTGTTTGACATAAAATAAAATAAATATGTTTGTGTCAAATACATTAATACTATCTGTAACACTTACATCATAGTAAAACAATTATTATTTGTCAAAATTATTCGTGAAAAATATATATTTGTTCTATAAAAAGATGCAAGTGACAAGGTGAAACACCAACTTGTCGACAATCATTTTCGCCTGGACCGTTATTATTATTATTATTTTATTGCAAGCCAATCATACAAGCCCAACAACAAAGCCCAAATGACACAACTCGATTACAACCTAGACCCAGACAAACCCAAACCTAGACCTGGTTACAACCAGTTGACCTGAAGCCCAATATCCGACCCGGTTTGGTCACCCACTGCCATCACTGTGCCACCATCTCGTGACCACTGCAGCACTCCACGCCTGTCACTCCAGTCATGCCATAGCACCCCACGCCAAACCCTGCTGCAACAGCATCAAGGTCACCATCTCCCCAAGACCACTGCAACACTCCATGCAGCAAAAGCAACAGATTACAGAGAACAGAAAAAAAGAAAATGCTCACATGCGATAGCCTTAAAATAAGGCTAAAATAAAGCGCTACCGGTTTTGTTATTGTTTCAATAACAAAACCGGTAAAAAAATGACCAGAAACATTATTAGGCGCTACCGGTTTTGTTATTATTGGGCGTTTTACCGGATTTGGTAAAAATGACCGGAAACTTTATTAGGCGCTACCGGTTTTGTTATCGATAGGCATTTTTACCGGAAATATTAAAAAAAATTGGTGTTTTAGGTTAAAAAAATAATGATATTTTAGGTAATTTTTTACCCGTTTTATTATTTAAACAATAACAAAACCGATAGCGCCTTATTTTAGCCTTCTATTAACGTGCCGCACTGTAAAACTTTCTAAAAAGATGTCGCAATGTATAACTTACCAAAGCATATTGTAATGGGGGCATCAAATGGGAAAAAAAAGGGAATGAGGGTTTCAACTAGGGATGGCAACTCAACCCGAATCCGACGGGTTCCGACCTGACCCGACCCGATCGGGTCGGATTTTTTTTAAAAAAATTCGGGTTCGGGTCGGGTCGGGTTTTTTTTAAATGTACTGTTCGGGTCGGGTCGGGTTTAGGGTGAAAAAAATCCGACCCGACCCGACCCGAAAAATATATATAATTTTATCATATATATTTAGGGATAATTACAATAATGTCCCTCCATATATAATTTTTTTCAATTAAGTCACTGTTTTCATTGAATAATTTTTTTTTTATTTCGGGTCGGGTCGGGTCGGGTGAAACCTTAATTTCGTCGGGTCGGGTCGGGTCACGGGTGAAAAACCCTTTCTTCTCGGGTCGGGTCGGGTGGCCCAAAAACCCGACCCGACCCGACCCGACCCATTGCCATCCCTAGTTTCAACAACCATTGAAAAAAAGAAGGGTTTCGAATTCCTTTTTCAACCCATGTCGTAAGCGTCGACCGGTAAATTTTTCTACTCACTCAATTCAAAAAAAACTAGTTTCAATTTCGAGTCTAATTATAAAATAGAACTCGAATAACTCAAAACTTTTAGTAATTAGTGGATTGATTTTCAAGTTCGAGTTGAGTCCCTTAACTATGAATGATATATGTATATAGCATATAAAAAAAATGAAGAAACATAGATTTATATCATATATGGTTATAGAAAACCATTTAAACTGGAATCAAATAATATCATAACATTATAATCGCATGGTGACCCCATTAGAAATACTACAATTTTAAACCAATTTATAAATGGAAGGGTTCAATCAAGTAAGCGTGACTCATGGATTTACTTTACAGTCGTTTATGCTAGTCCTCAAGGATCAAAGAGGAGACAATTATGGGACTTCAATGTCATATTGGACCCGTCTGAAAGATCAGGGGTTACGTTAATCGCTCAAAGAGGTAGCTGTCTTTTTTCAGATTTTATACATGACACAGGGGTGATCGACATAGGTTTCCAAGGTCCACCTTATACCTGAAACAGTCGGATTGTAGCTTGTGTAACAACCAGAAGGAATCATCGACCATGAAGCTTGATTTTTACAAAAAAACTTATTCTCCCCCGCTGACGCCGATAGCTACAGATTCACAACAAGAGGAAAATTTCGATCACCGCCCGTAGAGGAGATCGAACAACTAAACGCGCAAGTATCCAACGAAGAAACCAGAGATGCATTCTTCGACATGGGAGCTTTAAAAGCACCACAGATACATAGCTATTACCCAAGATGTGATTCATTCAATGAAGTGAAAAACATGGCGAAAAGGTAGGATGGCCATAAAAATAGGCCTAAAGAAAGCATACAATAGGCTTGAATGAGGTTTCATCAATGACACACCGACAGACATCAGAATCCCTACTTCTCTGCGTAATCTCATTATGCAATGTGTCTCTATGGTCATGACACAGATATTATAAAATGTATCTGCAACTGAATTCTTCCAACCGACTAGAGGAGTTCGTCAAGGTGACCCATTATCACCGTACATATTCATTCTTTGTATGGAAAGATTAGTGCAGACCATTCAAATCGAATGTAATCACGGTTGCCGGAAACCTTTCGAGACACCTAAACTAATCTCATATATTTCCCACTTATTCTTTGTTGATGATACGATCCTGTTTGTCGAAATTTCTGTGGAACAAGTTTCAGTCATCTGAAAATTCTGTGAAACAAGTTTCAGTCATCCGAAATCGAGCTGAACTAGATCATATCAAAATATTTTAACGATAAGGTCGAGTCATCTTTGAATTTTTGGTAAAAAAAAGTATTCGACTCAAAATAATAATATAATTATCTCATTTATATATATATTTTAAAAGTTATAACAATATTATTTTATTTATATATTTTAATTAGTTTATTAATTTACCTAAAAATGAGAGTTATATATAAGATTAATTATAAAATAATTGCTCAAACTATACTATTTTTTCACAAATAGGTGTCTAATCTATTTTTTGAAGCATCCAAGTGTGTAACGTTACAAATATTATCATTCTAGGTACTCGGGCCATTAAAAAATCATGTTAAAATGACATGTGTCGAGTTTAGATAATTTAAAATATTATTTATATATTAAAATAATAATTTATAATATATAAGTCAAATTCAGATCAATCAAAACTCAAACCCTACTAAACTCATGCACATCTTATTCCTAACACAATCCTTAACCAATTATTTATAGGATAAATTACAACAGAAAGGGGGCCTTTATAGAGATTTATGAAGCCCAATATTTGAGTTCCGGGGCATTCTCGTCATTCAAATCTCAACTTCAATAAATTAGGGTTTTAAGCTTCCCCAATATATATATACATATATAAAATGCCCTAGTAAGAGCATCGACATCTTGATATCCATCAGGTCGGCTTCTAACTCCATTTCTTTAACGTTGGTGAAAATCACTTATTTCCTTTAGAAAATCAAATTAACATTGCGTTTCATTTTCCATTTTACTTTTGGGGGGGGGATTCGATTCAGATTTGAGTTGAGCAGCTATGGCTAAGTCGAAGAATCACACCGCTCACAATCAGTCTTACAAGGCTCACAAGAATGGCATCAAGAAGCCCAAGAGACATCGCCATACTTCCACCAAAGGGGTATTTTATTTTTGTTCCCTTTTCTCGATCGATTTTTGAGTGACCTTGTATTTTTTTTCTATAGTTTTTATTTTTCTCTTGTGGTTATGTATAGATGGATCCAAAGTTCTTGAGGAACCAGAGGTACGCAAGAAAACACAACAAGAAAAATGGAGAGTCTGCCACTGAGGAAGAGTAAATTTTATTGGAAAATGGAATTAGCTTTGATTAGGTTTATCTAATTAGGGCTGATTCACTTTCTTCTATGGAACTTAGTGTTTACTGTGCTTTAATAGTTGCGTTTCTTTTTATTTTCTGGATTATTGATTATATATTTCTTAGAAAAGATTTGAAGTTGTGAGCTTATTACTATCAAGAACATGCTTTGAACTTGTTATCTATTTCCCCTTTTTCTCTGTTATTATTGATTTGGCATTGAAAATTTTGGGGTTTTTTAGCCATGGTTGATAGATGGACATGTATGATTTGATCTTTGGTGCATTTCATAATATTGATTTCTGCATGGAGGGATTTGGGGTTTGATGCTTCAATGTAGGTATTAGTTTGCCCTATGCTGTTTTTTTAGTGTTAGTTAAAGCCTGGTCAGTTTTGCTGTGCTGCATTCGAATTTAAGGTGGTTTTCAACTTAGAATGTTATCCTATTCGACCTAAAAAGTCATAAATTTGTAATATTTTCGATCACAACAAAAAAAAGTTACATTGTGATTGGTTTAAGTCATAAATTTGTAATATTTTCGGTCACAACAAAAAAAGTTGCATTGCGATTGGTTTAGGTTTTACAATCGAACATGTAATAATTTTGGTTAAGACTGAAACTTTAAGAATAATGTAATATTTCCGGTTTTAACCTAAAAAATTATACTTTTGGTAAGCTTTTTGGTTTCAACTGATATATGTTGTATTTTTAGCTTTATATTAACAAGTAGTACATTAGATTCTCTCCAAAATCTGTGAATCATAACGGGTCCTTTAGAAATTTGTCATCTGATCTGAATAGTTCTTCTAAGGGTTGTAATTGTTTTTGTAGAGTTGATTCCTTCCAAGGATTGTAATTGTTCATGCAGAGTTGATTCTCAAAGTGGTCATGGTTTACATTTTAGGAATATGTTGTGGATTTTTGTCGATGGGCCTTAGTTTAAAATAAAAACAAAAATTTTGATTCAATACTTTAAAATAAATCAACCACTTTTTATCCAATTCTTTAGAAAATCGCTTTGAAAATTTACTTTTAGTACCTTTCTCTATAGACAAGTATCTTTTAGGGCCCTTAGCTACTAAAAGATAAATCATATTAGCATTAAGATCATCCTAAATTTTAAGATCAAATATATTAGGTAATTTTTTAGTATCAATATCATTTTCAACATTTAAAGTATCATTGTCGATATTCTGAGAATTGCACATCCAACTCAGTTGGTAGAGCGCAAGGCTCTTAACCTTGTGGCCGTGGGATCGAGTCTCACGGTAGGTAATTCATAATGCTGGAGGTCTCCCACGGAAGATGCTCTTAACCTGGCGTTGGGGGCAACCTATTATATTACCTCTTCCTTATCCCATTATATATGGGAATAGGGTCAGCTAATTTATTGTTGATATTCTGACTAGTGTAATTAGCACTGATTGGATTAAGATTGTCATTTTGAGTTAACACATCACCTTCACTTAGGTTTATCTTTGTTAACATGCATATTTTCATTCAAATCTACACTATTATCATCATTGTCATTCAAATTAACAGAATCATCATTTAAAATAATTTTATCATCAACATCAACAATATTATTAATTTCACATCAAGAGCTCCTAATTGATATTGAATTAACTCTTCTCGTTTCTTTTTTATTACTTTTTTCACATCCGGAATCATGTTTTCTAATTGCAGAACCTATGATCAAATTATCAAAGAAAGAGATCAAGTGATAAACTAAACACCAAAATGATAGAAAGAACTTGCAAATTTAGAAGAATAAAACTTTGAAACATAAGAATTGCAAGTCTTCAACATGACTATCAAATTGGAGAAGAAACAATCTTCAAATTCTCAAAATATTCAAATTCCTCAATTAAAAATTCAACCTTCAAAACACTAATTAAAAGTAGTAGTAGGAAACTTTTTTGAGTTTTAGATGATGAAGAAATTGGATAAGATTAAAATTAGGGTAAATATAAATAATATATTTTTCTGTTAGACATAATGATTTTAATGAGGGTTTTTAAGAAGAAATTATTACAATTCATTTATTGAAATAATAAAGGATAAAATTAAAAGTTATTCTTTTTAAATCTTATCATGGGAATTAATAAAGGAATTATACTTGAATTTTTGGGAAAAATATTTTTTATTAATAGATTTTTTAAATGTTGGGCCCCTAAAATTTTGAGGTCCTATGATATATCATATTCTACACATGTAAAAGGACGAGTCTGAGTGTCGACCATGGGGTCTTGAAGATCTTTTGCCTTGTTTGAAACATCCAAACAGCGGCAAAGGCTGACGGCGGGGTGGGTCTTTTTTTTAAAAAAAATTAAGATCTTTTTCAAATATAATATTATTTTTAATTGTTTTAAATAAAAGTTTTAAAATTATATAAATGTGATCAGTGTAATTTAATAATATTTTTTAACAACTATTACTCGGGAAACACCTAAAATGATAACGTTTATAACGTCAAGTACCTGAATTGATCGGAAAAAAATTAAATAATATTTTGAAAAAACGTATTTAAATATTTTTTAAATAAGATATCATATTCGGGAGACACTGAAAATCTCTGGGTTATGATGTTTATTTGACTTGAACTCAAATCTACTAACCTATAAGCAAAATCATTGAGTTGAGTTTTACAAACGATACACATTTATTCTATTATATTTAATGCAATTTATAAATATTATTCTCAATAGACAATAGTATATAATATTTGGATAGCCTCACATAGTTGAAGATAATAAATGTTTTGAGTTATTTTCTCAACTGATGTGCACACATTTTTTTTTTATATTTATAATTTTATAATTTTTATTTTTTTTGAAAAAAAGCATAATGGTTTTATATTTTAGGATTATTTTAATATATTTGAAATTTAATAATTTTTTAAATTATTAATTTTTCTTAAAGATTGATAGATTAAAATAATTCATTGAATTTTTTAATTGAATTAATTGTACTATTGAGTTCTATAAAAAGAAATGGTAATAGGGTCACTTTGCTTCTGTAGTTGACCCGATTTATCATTTTCGACCCTATCGTATTTTTGCATCAATTTAGTCATCAAAATTGCTCAGTCGCATCAATGTTTAAAATATTTACTATTATTTAGTTTTAAGTTAAGATTTATAATTTGAGGTTTATGATTTATATGCTAATGGATTATGGATTATGGTTTAGAATTTAAGGTTTTAAGTTAGAGTTATGATATGTGATGATGCAATTAAACAACTTAGAGGACTAAATTGATACGAAAATACGATAAGAACGAAAATGATAAATTGGGTCTAAAAGTGACCCTACCAAAAGAAATCAAATACACTCAAATTTGATTAAAAAAATAAATAAGTACATCTATCATATTATTTTTAATAAATCACCATGTCAGTACAATAACAATCAACAATAATCAAAAGAAAAATTAATATAATTAAATAAGTTTGAAATTTATAATTAAAAAATATGAAAAATTATTGATTTGTATTTATCTATCACATGGTCAAAATGACCCTAAAACTTTTCTAAATAATTATAAACTTTATATTAAAAAATAATCATAAATTTTTATTTTTATTTTTTTAAAAGGAAAATCATATAAGAGGTTACTAAGTTATGCTCAAGATATCATTTTGATCATTAAAATTTTCAAAATCAATAAAACAATCATTAATTTTATTAACATTTTTATAAATTTAAAAATGACTATTTTATATTTTAATAAAATTTAATGATCATTTTATTGTACTAGGGTGATTACAAGTGATAATATCTATTCTAAATATTTTTAATCATTTGGTAATGACACTCAAATAACGATTTCCATTTTATTATAATTTTATAATTTTTTTTTATTAATTTGGGAGTAAATACAAGGTGATATATGTTTAAAGAACACTTTCAACAATTTGACATTGAACGCTCACACTCCTGACGTTCTTAATGCTCAAACTCGAGACCTCAAATAATAACAACAATTCATTTATCATCAAAGTCGTTTGTGCTATGATTTGATAAGTTTAATAACTACTTTATAATTATTAAAAATTGATAATAATATTATTAAATTTGAAACTTCAACGTTAAAATAATGATTTGAGCATAATTTAATGACTTATAATATAATTTACCCGGTTTTTTAATTTGCTTTTTATTTCCAAGGACAAGAGACAAGAGGCTCTTCTTAGCGCTGAAAAGAGAGAGAGAGAGAGAGAGGGGAAAAAAAAAACTAAAAAGAAGAGAATAAGAGCGGAAAAAGAAAAAAAAGTTTCTTCAGCTTTCGTTAATGGCGGTTAGGGTTTTCTGTTGATCACCTTTCACAAAGGAAATTCTTATTTCTGTCCCGCCTACTATCCCAACAGCCCGCGCTTTCATTTCTCTTCTTGTTTCCCAAAAACCCTAATTCCAGGGTCTCCCCTAAATATCTCAATTTCAACTTCCGAGTCCTCAATCTTTACGATTCCGCCTGGCTATTTTGGGATTCGATAAATTTTGAAATCGGAGAGCGAGAAGCTGCGATGGGCGCTCAAGAGAAATCTCAAGGCAACTCCAATTCGCTGCAGGTCTGTTCATCTCTCGCTCTCCTCTTTTGGTCCCTCTGTAAGGTATTTAGTTTTGGCTTTTGGTGTTTTGTTTTTATGATTGGGGAATAATTGGAATTTACGGAGTAAGTGAAGTTCTTTTCTTTGGATTAGTTTTAAATTAGTTTCTGCTTTATAGGTAAAGTTGCGACTCTATTCCCTTGTTTCATAGTATTAATCATTAGGTTTTGGTTTGAAGTGTTTTGGCCAGGGCTGTGTTTTAGTTTTAAATAAATTTTACGCATAAGAACTTTGGAAAAAGTTATGATTCATGTTGCAGTATGACTCTACTTTAGTTGATGTCAAAGGATGTGTACTGGAGTAACTAGACTGTACTGAGTGCACGAAAAAATTGTTATTCCTTCTACCTGTTATCTTGCTTATTTTGGTTAGGTTACTAGCTAACCGGGATTTTAGCTTGTTATGTTAGTTAATTGTAGATATTTTTTCTGGGGAAAAATCCTGTGTGGATAGACTGGTTTTACTGTCAGATTTTAACTTCCTGTTATCTTGGAGTGCCACAGCTCGTAATTATTGATAATCTTTTTTTTGGGGGGGGGCTGGTTGGTGGTTGGAGGTGGTTTTCAGATCAGAAGTTTTTATTGTCGGCAGTGGGATAGCTTAAATAGTATTCCATGTCCAACTTGTGTTTATGGGACTATGAAATGATATCATTGTTTAGTGAACTAGATTTATACTTTTCATGTGTTGTATATTCTGTGAATTCGGCACTAGTTTGGGAATTATATTTAAACATTCTCTTCATTTCTTGATCAAATTTTATCTTATGAGGGAATGGCTCAGGTAGCAGCTAAAGGTTTAACTTCATGCTGTGGAACACTGGAACTATGCAGTGTTTTAATGATATGATCCCTTGATACACCAAACTTTTTCAGGAAAAAATATTCCACGAACCTTTCACACCAATTAAAACCTCCAATCTCATCATTTTTACATGTCATCAATCCTCTCAAATCATAGCTTCCAAAAGTAACCACCCATAAAAAAGATTTACTTGAAAAAAAAAAAGTGAAGACTCACCCACAAAAAGGATGACATGGAGAAAAAAAGGTGAAGTGGGTGGTTTAGTTGGTAGGGCTGAGAATCATAGATGAGGTGGTGGGAAGGGTTCATAAAATAAAATTTCCTTTTTCAGTCTTTGATGATTGTTTCTTTGAATTTTGCATGTCTTCGAAGTCTATTTAATTCCCCTCCTTTTCTTTTGGTTCAAAATATTTTACTTATAAATTCAGCGAGTAAAGTTCTATCGTTTGAGTGAGGATGGTAAATGGGATGATCAAGGAACCGGGCATGTCACTGTTGATTACTTGGAGGTCTGTTCAAATCTTCTATTTATTTAAGGATTCTGTGTTTTGAATCTGGATATACTGGGTTTAAGTTTTGAAAATAATTTATTTAGATTACAATGCCTTTTTCGTTTTAAATGAATGCACATATTATAATTCAGAGATCAGAAGAGCTGGCTTTGTTTGTTTTTGATGAAGAAGACAATGAGACGTTGCTTTCACATCGTATCCGCCCTGATGACATTTACAGAAAACAAGAAGGTATTCTTCTGATTTAACTAATATCCACGTCTATTTCTTGTGAAAGTATCAGTTTGATTGGATTATGTGCATTTATCATCAGATACAATCATATCATGGAGAGACTCCGAGTATTCTACTGAATTAGCACTTAGTTTTCAAGAGAACACGGGATGCTCTTACATATGGTAATAATGTTTATAAATTGCTTTATACTCTTTCAATGCTTTTGATCTCAATCTTTATATCCTTTTTCTTACAGTTCATCATCCTGGAAGTTTATGATGTCAACATTTATTTCTCTTCTCCCCTTTATTTTTGCTCTTTCTCTATTGCAGGGACCAAATCTGTAATGTGCAAAGAAGTATGCATTTCAGTTCTCTCAATGGTAAGCTTTTCTTGAAATCCTTGAAGCTCCTAATTATCCACTAAAGTTGATCAAGCATTGGATCCATGTAAATGGTTATCTCTCTTAGTAACCCTTGTCGAAACAAAGACTTTATGTTCCGGAAACTGGAAATTTTGTAAAAAGTGTTTTTTAATCAAATGATATATTTTTCCTCTGCCTTAGCAGTAGGAAGACCTTGATTAAATGGGATTCTTTTGTTGAGAGGTCATGATCTTCGGCCTTGATGCACAGAACAATCGTTTTCTGAGAGTGTGCAATGTTTTTGTATTAAACATGATATCAAAGTTATTGTTGTGCAATTTGGAATACCATCATGAATAACAACTGTTTCGTATGTTATTACCACAGGTGAAACGTTTCACTCAATGAATAGTGAGTTGACGGAATTGCCAGCTGTGGAGCTTTCAACTCTCCCCATAATCCTCAAGGTTCTAATGAATGATTCTGTCCCCTGATTGCATTCTGTTTATCTTTATTTTTATTGCATGGCATGATTTTTGGGGTTCTTTCCTAAAAAAAAATTCTGTGTTAATGCTTTTCTTATTTTATATGATTTAAGGGGGTTTATTTATTTATTCGTCTTTATTTATTCTTTTCTTGGCTGTCTCTATATGAACTTAGGTTATAATCACTTGTAAATTGTAACAGAGAGTAAGTGTTCTGATTTCATTTTCTTTTACGTGATGTTTTTTAGTCCCTATATTTTCTGTATGCTCTGCTTATATTTCTTGGAAAGCTTCTTTAGATTACCCTATTCGGGAATACCTTTTTATATGTTTTTTTTCATTAAGTTGGTCGAGTTTTCCATGCAGACTGTGACTGAGAGTGGCATTTCTGATCAGATGCGGCTGACAGAACTAATATTAAATGATGTATGCTTCTTTGAAAACTTTGCTCAATCTTATTATTTTCTTCTGCATCTAGACCTTGTGCGGTTTAGCATTCTGTGATTAACTGCCAATGAGCCATTGATAGCTTTGGTATTCTGTCATATTAAGTAATTAGTTGTGGCTGTGTTCTGAATATAATAATTTGGTTTCCTCTGGCTTCTCGACCTTCTGAGATTGTGTAATCTCAGTGATCTTACATTTCAAATGGGAGAGAGATTAAACATCTTCTTTCTACATGTAACTATGAATATAATAACTTTCTCTTGGCTTTCTACCTGTGTCAATTCTAAATATTCAGCCATGCTAAACTGAATGTGGTCTCAATGCAGCTAGATTTCTTTCAGAAGCTGATGGAGCTATTTAGAATCTGCGAAGACTTGGAAAATATGGATGATCTTCACATGATATTTAAAATAGTCAAAGGGATAAGTTAACACACTTTCACTTGAACGCTTATATTTTTATTTTATTAACACATGCTTGTATTTTACAGCTGATTCCCTAATCCATGATTTATGTTATTGATTCTCTTACAGTTTTGCTCAATAATGCTCAAATTTTTGAGAAAATGTTTGGGGATGAATTGCTCATGGATATTATTGGTTCTCTTGAATGTAAGTATATCTCTGTTTGTTTTCAGATTTATCATAAGTGACCAATGCTGGATTGAATTGGATATTCAATTTGCAACTTTACGTATGTTACTGTTTGGATGTGCCTTTCAGATATAAAATCATATACAATAATTTTTTTATGCAAATAACTTTTTAAATTGTCATTTTTGAAAGTTCTATGTTTCATGTATATTTCCTCGAATTTTCCTATTATTTTATAGTTTAGCTTCTTTTAGTTAGATGGTTTCTTCTTTGGTTTGCAGACGATCCTGATGTTCCTCAGGTGCACCATCGTAATTTTCTGATGCAACATGTTATTTTTAAGGAGGTAATTTATTCTTCAATGGGTTATACTGCATACCGTGGAGGTGTATATAGGGAGTTTAAATTTGGTGAAAAAAATGTAAAAAGAGTTTATTCATATTGTTTTACAGGCTGTTCCAATTAAAAATTCAACGGTCCAATCAAAAATACACCAGACATACCGTGTTGGTTATTTGAAGGTAAGGATCTTAAATGTTTACTCACGAGTCCTTCTCACGTCTTTTGTTGTGTAATTCTTGCTTCTGATTACTTCCTTCAGGATGTTGTTTTGGCAAGGGTATTGGATGAGGCTACAGTTGCCAGTCTCAATTCTATAATTCATTCTAACAATGCTATGGTAAGATATTTATTGCTTGTTAATGTATTAGGCTGTTTGTTTCTTTCCCACTTAACTAACCACGATATTGTTTTGTAGGTTATATCTTTATTGAAGGATGACAGCAACTTTATTCAGGAATTGTTTGCTAGGTTGAGGTTACCCACCACATCTGCTGAATCAAAGAAAAAATTGGTAAGTACTGACATTGAAGTTTAATTGCATAATTATTTTTCATTTGGTTAGGAGTGTTGCTTCATTTACTATGAAGCTGATTGTTATGAGCAGCAGATTCTTAGAGATATAACTTTGTTGACTTTCAGTTTTAGCCCTTCTCTTTTTGATATTTGAGTGAGATGATTGATGTTGTACTTCTTTAATCCATTTAGATGTTAGATTTTTGCTTGAAATAACAAAAAGAATCCTTGAACTTCATCACTTTGTCTAGGTAAGTCCTTTGTTAGCGAGCCATATCAGGTGTACAAGCGCTACACTTATGAGACAAAGAGTGGGCAGCAAAATAATTAGTTAAATAGTTTCTAGAAGTTCCTTTGCTTCAGTTATTTTTTATGCACTTGTGTTTCCTGTTTTGTATGAGGGGGTTCCCCCACTTTAATTCCTGCAGTAACATTTTTTTGTTTATTAGGAGGCTATTCTTGTGCTGTTAGCGTCAGTTTCTCTTCTGTATTTATGACATCAGAAAATTTGTGAACAGTTTATACTTCAGACTTCATCTTATTCTCAAGAGGTCATCAGATTCCGTTCTTAGATCCTGAAAAATCACATCAAAGGTTGAAATCAGAAAAAACCCCTTACCTCCCTCATCTTCATACCCCATTGGCCCATTCCCTCGTTAAATAGACCCATAATTAGAATACTAGATCCAGTTCAAGAGACCATAACATCCTTATACTTCTAGTGTACCCAAATACGACGGTAACCTAAATTTTAGGCTGAAATATCAAAAAAATCCTTTAAGCTCTATCACTCTGTCAAGGTAAGTCCTTATACTTCTATTGATCCCAATATGACATTAACCTAATTTGACCAAAATTTGTTATTAACCTTTAATTTGCATTGAAGTATGCACTTTTCCTTTATTAGTACTTAATAGGCCCTTAACTTTTAATTTGTATGAAAGCCCTTAACATAAATTTATCTTTCTGTTGATATAAAAGTTTATTTGGGTACAAATCGAAATCAAAGAATATGGGTTTATTTGGGTACAATAAAAGTATAGGGGCTCACTTAAGAAGTGAAAACAGTTTAGGAGTTTCTTTTAGTGTTTTAATTTTTACCATATATTTTAACTCATTCATAAAATATTTAGATTTAACTGAGGTTAAATGAATTAAAGCTTAGGTCTGGGGTGTCAGTTTTCTTATCCGTTTACCCTCCCTTGCTTGTACTTTGTCTAAGGTGATTGATTTTTCTGTTTTCTTCTATACATTTAAATGCTAGATTTTTTTTAGGTCCTGAAAGGTGTTGCTTTAGGTGAGGTCAAATATTTGAATGTTTTTGATTTGAATATCTCAATGTTGGAAAGGGAGCTAGGCACACTCAAGATGCCAATTCCTCTATATAGCCTGAGGGCTGAGGCCCAAGGCGCAAAAAGAAAGCGCTCACCCGAGTAGAAAATATTGCATACATATAATAATAAATAAATGTGTAAAATATATATATAAATGATGTAATATGTTATAAACAATAACTAGTTAAGATAATTTTTATATGTTTTATAAATTCAAAACACTGTTCTAGTTTAATAATTAATGAAAAATTTATAATAGAAAAATAGAAGTCGGGGGAAAAATAATTAACAGAAAAAACAAATTATAGAATAATAATTAAAAAAATAAGGGTCTTTACCTTAGAACTTGAACGTTTGAGGGAGGTTAGGTTTTGAGTTTTGATGATTTAACAGAGTTCAATGTAATTAGCAGATAGTATGTTTATAATTAATAAAATGAGAAAATGATATTAAAAAACCCCCTTAAATTAAAGGTTGGCTTCAGAAAACCATGGTATTTGAGTGTTTTTTTTAAATAATAAAAAATATAGGAGAAAACTTTTAAAAGTCAGCTTCAACGGGTATTTGAGTTTTAAAGGGAAAAAACGAACATGAGAGAGATTTAAAAGTTGGCACCATTGCTTGGCTTGAGCTCAGTGGGCTTTTAAGTTTAAAATAAATAAATAAAAAGTCTTAAAGTTAAAAGCTGGTTGCTGCTTCACCTTGGCTAGGTTTATGTCACCAAGCCTTCAAGCTCAAAGTGCAATAAAGTGTTCTAGGGCAAGTTCCTAATAAAATCTCTTTGCCTGAAAAGATTAAAGGCAAAGTCTCCATATCCCGTTTCACTTTAGTGCCTAGTCATGTGCCTTAATAACACTGGAATATCTATTATCTGTGGCTCTTTTCATGGTTTAACTATATGATTTATTCCAATTGATTTGGCACCATTCATGTTGGTTTTCCTTTTTTTTTCTATAGGTATATTTCTTGCGTGAATTTTGTAGTTTAAGCAAGAGCCTGCAGATGGTGCAGCAGCTTCAACTATTTAGGTAGGCTTTTCTACAAGTTAGATATCCCGTATCAGCATTCTTTTCATGTTTTTATCTTGATTCTGTAAGCTACTACTTATCCAGAACTATATTTCAAACTATTATTTTTTTTATATTTTATGGCTGAAGGGTTCCTTTTTTCTATCATTTAGGGATCTTATAAAGGAAGGTATCTTTGACATTATCACTGATGCTCTGCAGTGTCAAGATAAAAAGCTTGTACTAACGGGGTAATGCAATTTTAGCATCACTTTAATATGTTTCTGACTTCCTGCTTAGCGTGTAAACTTTTCTTTCCTCTAGTTACAGTCCTAATAATAGGTCTCGATTATGGATGCAGGACAGACATCCTCATACTGTTCTTGAATCAGGATCCAAACCTTCTGCGCTCTTATGTTGTTCTTCCGGAAGGAATTCCACTTTTAGGACTTTTGGTATGTATTTGTTTTGAGATTTTTGGATGGTATGATGCACTTATTGTATGGAAGCATTACCACTCGATGTACTTAGGAGATTTCCATCACTGTGTTACACATGTTTAAAGTGGAGATAGAATTAGAACTAATATAGTTGTATGCTCACAGGCTAAAGGGATGATAACAGATTTTGGGGATGATATGCATTGCCAGTTTCTTGAAATTCTTCGTAGTTTACTGGATTCATTTGCATTGTCAGGAGGCCAGGTACCTGCCTTAATCTTTACTTTCATGTGCAAGTGTTATATTTTGGTATATAGGGAAATTGTAGACTTACACTCAACCTGAATTACATAATAATTGGGTAGGTTAAATGAATTCCTCAAGGTCACATCACTTTATGGTCTAGCTCATCCCTTTTTAAAAATATACCCGTCTTAAGTTGATTTACTGCACATGAATATGCTTTTCTTTATTGCGGGTCTTGGAGAAGCACAAAATTCTGTAAATTAGATTCAAGCATGGTTGGAAGATGAGAATCCTGAAGACAAGTTGAATTGGTTTCTTATGCATAGAGTTATAGAGTCAATTAGAAGATGAGTTCTTGTAAAAGTTGGCTAAATTTCATTAGGCTTCATTTCAAAAAAAAATAAATCATTAGGCTATGTTTAATCCCCTGGTTGCTGTAGATTACTGAGAGGTTGTTGCCGTATAACTTTGATATCATGGCAGAAGAAAGATTAGCATTTGATTTTCATGCCTTACTCGTATTATGGCAGCTGTGGAAGTTTTGGATGTGTTGCATTTTGTTTTTTATTATATGTATCGATTTATTATTGGAAAAATGTCAAACTTTCAGTTAAGATTTAATTTATTTTCTTTCTGCTGATTTCATTGCTAGTTCCTTTTTTATTTACTAGTTCCATTTCTTTGAAGTGCTTGGCTTCATATTTGTTTTTGTTGCAGAGAGATACGATTATTGATATCTTTTATGAGAAGCATTTGGGTCAGCTAATTGATGTCATAATATTATCATGTCCTGATGAGGTTGGCCAGTCAACGAGTAATTTGGCAAGCAGTGGCAAAAGAGTTGAAAGTCAAAATAGCACGAAGCCTGAAATTCTGTTAAACATATGTGAATTGCTTTGCTTTTGTGTTGTGCACCATCCTTATAGAATAAAGTAATCTCTTGGATACCTTTTGTGTATCACCTAGAAAATTTTGTTATATTAATCTATTATATTAATTGGCCTTCTCTTAATTGTTCAGGTGCAATTTTCTCCTTGACAACGTTATTGAAAAAGTTCTGTTACTTACACGGAGAAGGGAAAAGTACCTAGTAGTTGCTGCTGTTCGCTTTGTTCGAACTATTCTCTCTCATCGTGTAAGCGAGTTCAGTTTAAGCTTTAGAATAAATTCTATCCCATCAAAGTTGAATTGTTCACACTTGCCCTTGATGTTATCGTTAGAATGAAAAACGGTATTAATGAAATGAATGAAATTGGAGGTGAAACTATTTACCATGTGAATTAGTGTCTGACTTTGCTTTTAACTGTTCTTGCTTACGGAGACGTGGGGAATTAGTTTCTCAGTTTAAAGATCTATCTTTTGAGATATGTGGTATGCATATGTGGCTTTGATTCTTACATTTTTACCTGATGTTATGTGGTTACTCATTTGACCCATTTCTCAAAGTTGACATAATCTTGGGGCCCAGAGACTCCAAACTATAAAGGACACATACCATCTCATATAGAGGTACTATGAATAATATAAATATGGTTTGCTAATTGTCAGCAGAATTATTAATGGAAAGGATGGATGTATTCTCTCTCTTCCCATCTGAAATTTCCCACCTACTTGATTGCGGTGCTTGTGATTTTTTTTGGGGGTACATTTTCCATCTTTTGCATTTGTAAGTTATAATTTATAGGACTGATTTTCCGCTTTTAACCCCAAATTAGCAATTTTATGAATGCTGTATATTTTTGGCAATCTGATGAAAAGCTGTTACATGTTTTCACTGGTTAAATTAAGCTTTCATCTTGCAGGACGAACACCTGATCAATCATTTTGTTAAGAAAAACCTTCTCAAACCAGTTGTAGATGCTTTTGTTGCTAATGGAAATCGTTACAATATGCTGAACTCGGCAGTCTTGGAACTTCTTGAATATATTCGCAAGGTGCATATTTATCTTATCTATATGGCTATGTTAGACATATCTTGATGATTCTTTCTGCTAATAACTTTGTTCCATGCAGGAAAATCTGAAATTATTAGTTAAATATATAGTTGATTCGTTTTGGGATCAGTTGGTTAAGTTTGAGAATTTGTCATCCATTCACTCTCTGAAAGTCAAATATGAACAGGTATTCCAGTTACCTACCTATTCTACTGCTGAGACTTCCATATCTAGAATTTCATTGATATGATTCGTCTGTTTGCAGTGCTTGGAAAATTGTGGAACAAAAGCTAATGTTAATGTGTTGGACTCGAGAAAACGAATTGATGAGCGTGCCCTTGAGAAAGAGGAGGAAGAATATTTTAATGAGGACAGGTATACTTTCATCAACTGATGAACTGAAACTTTTTCCCCTAAGCCATTTCCACTATAATGATTATATCTGGATGTATAAGCAGTGACGAAGAGGATGCAACATCTAAATCTCGCACTCGGAAAGTACAGCCTCAGCCTGTTTCATCAGATGGAGGTGCTGCAAGCTACCCATCTTTAAGGTATTTCAGTGACATCTTCCTAGATGATGGAGGACTGAAAATGCTGTACAGTGTGCTTGGGGTTTCATAATTTATATATTTGTTCGATTTTGTAGTCCGAGATCTGGTGGACTCGTCGACTATGATGATGATGAAGATGATGAAGACTACAGACCACCTCCCAAGAAGCAGAGTGAAACCTCAGAGGATGAAGGAGCCCTGGAGTCCCTTCGGTTGAAGCGAAAGTTGATTTCTAGGGAGCATGAGAATGAGAGAGCTTATAAGAAGCAGCGTCTGGGTAAAAGCTCCAAAACAAGAGATAGTGTATTTGCTGCTTTGTGTTCAACCCTAAGCCATGCAGTCCTGCCAAGTAAGAAAACTGCAAACGCCGTGCCTTTATCTAGTCGATCAGCTGATGAGAGCAAAGGCTTGGGTGAGGACAATCATACAGAGAAAGAATCTATCAGCCCGAGAAGTTCTGATAGAACTAGTTCAGAAGAGGACAACCACAGAGAGAAGGAACCTCCGAGAAACTGTTCAGATTGTTTGCATAGTCCCTCAGGCAGTAGACAACAATTAAGCGGAGAGGACTGCCTCTTGATACCACCAAAATCCTCACCTGAAATGGCTGTTAATGGATCTTAAGGGTAATTTTGGAGAATCTTATGCACAATTTAACCCGTTTTCTTGTTTGTTGTATTCGACTCAAGAATGTGCTTGCTGGTTATCAGTATGGACTACCAAAGAAGTGGATTCAGAGAAACACCAGGAAGTCAAGAAGGAAATTCAGATTGTTTGTCAGTGGGAGGCGATAGATGATCTGCAAGCAGAGGTCGGGTAAAATTATACTCCATTATGCAAATGTCAAGAATACCACCAAGCCTTTTCTGATGCTTTGAGCTGAGCTTTGGACTTTATGCTTTTAGCCTCACCGCCAAACTGTTGCTTCTGTAGAACATTACCTGCTTTTTGGTCTTACTTTTCACCTTCTTTTTCCTTTTCTAAAAAACAATTATTCTACTTTTTTTTCAGCTTTGTGAACCGAGAGAATGGGCAGTAAAATTTGGCATGCACAAGTGTTGGTATTCCTTTTGTTGAGTTTTTGTGGTGGGTGTGGCTGCTGGTATTAGAGAGGGATGATATATAAGATTAGTATTGGCCAAATTTTATTTATTTTAGGGCTCAAAACCTCATTTTTAGACCCAATTGTATACTTGAATTTGGTATTACCCTAATTTTTTTTAACTTTGAAGATGAGGGGTGAGCATGGGTTGGAATAAATGCCTAAGCTAATTCTCAAATTCATGCCCATGTTAGCAATTTTAGATTTACAATTTCATTTTCATGTTTTTTTGTACTTTTCAATGCAATATTTAATCTAAACTACAAATTATATTTTTTAAAAACCATAATAACAGAAAATGTCGTAATTTAATTTTAATTTTGTTTAAATATTTTGTTTTGTGACAAAATACTCATTGGATGGAAACTGTTGATTGATTTAGGATCAATGTTCATCGTTGAAGTAATTAACTTTATGTCTAAAGTGATAGTATTACATGTGATGACATCATTTATGTATATATGACACGTATAACATGTTACATGTTATCATTTATGGTATGTATTATTATCATTTTGAACATGTGATTCATTTTATTATCAATTTGAATACGTATGACTTGTTCCGTTAATGACAAATGTTGATTGTTATTTAATTAATGATTTTTTTTATCTAGCTAGGAGTTATTCCGTGTTAGAATGAAAATTGAAGTTTAACGTGTTGAAAAAGAATATAAATCAAAGTAACGATTCAATTAAACATTGAGAATATTTTTTTTTATCATTATGTCTTAAAAAATTTCTAATAATAACCTCAATGGAAGTTATAGGCTTATAGCTTATAATTTTAATTTAAATATTTAATAAATTTAAATATCTGGAAATTAAACATTTTAATTCTTTTAAAATTTGATTCTATTTCTGTTTCGGTATGCACTCAAGATTACTAGCAATTTTGTGTTCGTATTTTATCAGATAAAATAGAGTACAAATGTAGTTTTTTTTGGAATTAAACACTGGTATTCGATCTATTGACCGACTAACTCAGATCATGTATTACAGAGGCGAGGGCAACTGTCTCAACCCAGTTTGCTCCATTCGCAAACACCAAGATTCGAAACCCTGACCTTGTTTAAAGGACCTAGTGTCTCATCCCACTACTGGTTGTTGGTTACAAATGTAGTTTTTGATTAGTAGTAATACATGTAAATAAATTTGCTTTGATTGATAAAGTACATCTATAACTTAAAACATTAGCTTAAATCCACCCCATAAGGTTTACCTGATAAAACTCAATACACTCAAGTCCAAGGTGATACAGAAGCAACACACGTATGTATGTTTTCTGTTTCATTATATTCATTTACATACTTGGCATGGTTATTGCTATAAGACCATAACAGTTGCTCTCATAAACTAGTAGGGAGGGCGGCAAGGAACCGGAAACGCCGCGTGGTACTGATACTGAAACTGTGAGGGTGGCCCCGCCAGTGCTGTCGGAGCGGCTGCGGGAGTAACACTGTAAAACTCATAGGGTGAAGGTCCAACATGTTGTGATCCACCTGCAGAGCCATGTGGTTTGCCGCTCTTGCACTTATTACACTTGCTGTTAAGGCCAGCACCCATGGCTCGATCCGACTGGTGTTTATGAGCGGCGACGTCGTGAACACCTTGAGCGGCGCCTTGGATCGCACCTTCGATGGCGGCCAAAGGGTAAACCAGGAACCGATCGGCTACGTGGTGCAGCCTATCGATTCCATGCTCTACCAAATCACTCACATGGTTCCTCACCTGCTGGTTCCTCCCCATGGCCTTGGTTCTCTTCGCTTCTTTTCTTCTCTTTGCCTTTGGCCGGGCTTGTCCTCCACCTTCATATTTATAATGCAGAATTCATCTATATTTTCCCTCATGTTTAACATATAGTTACAGAGATACGACTATTCTCTAACATCCATCTTTATATTCGAATTCGAAAAGTAAAACACAGGAAGAGGAATAAAGTTTGTGGTTGAAGCTTGAGGTGCAGAGCTCATATTCTTGACAGCACATTATGGGTTAGCATTGTGAATTCGTTGTTACTTCTTTTATCTTCTGCTTGAAGCTTCAGAAGTTTCAAAATATTGAATTAATGATTCGATATGTCGACTTATGCTTAAGATTTTATGTTATTCGGATAAAGGATAACAAGAAAAATATCTAAAAATCTTTATAGTTGCTTGTCATTTACATATGATTTCATACGTTAGTGCTCAAATCAAGCCCCTACGAAGAAAAAAAAATTCGGTTAATTTTGTTAATGATAATTCGGTTCGGTCGGTCACCGTTTTAACCGAATGAACACCCCAACAATAATGGGTATATTTAAATCAAAACTAGTCGATTAAGTTTAGTTCGATTGATATTATTATTGGTTTACCATACAGGAAGACGTAGGAAGCATCAAAGATTAGAGACATTTTTTTGGGTTTATAGAAATTTCCAAACCGAAATTGAATGCATCGGCGATCCCTTCCAACCGATGAGTAGTGTTTTTCCGTTCATATCAAGTGTACAACTAGTCCCGTCGACGAAAGTGTTGAGAATAAGGTCTACCTGGTACATGGATGACATGCTTAATTCGGCTTCCTCCATCCCGTACCGAACGAAAAACGCCCTCCAAACATCGAACTTCACGTGCCGGACCTTCCTCTCGTCACCTTCGGTTGCTATCATGTTCCGAATTCCCTCACCGAAAAACACTGATTCAAGGATCTCTCTGTTTTTACTATCCTGCTTCATGCAAGTTGCGGTGCAATCGAAGTATGCGCTGAAGAAAAACAGTACTTCGACGAAACGGTTCACGAAGATGGGCGAGTTATGGTTGCCTTCGACTTCGGTTACCACCATTAGACAAGGATTCATGACTCTGAGTACCCTCATTATGTTTTCGATCCGGTTCGGCTTCACGAGCATTCTTCGGAAAGCAAACGCTGCATACGCAACAATGGATTCTTCGGCATCGATTTCAAAGTGATCTTCTCTAAGATCCAACATGTCTGAGACCATAACAGCCTTAAAAGCAAAGGGTACTCCCAAACTCTGAGCAAAACTCGAGAGCCTCTCGCCGGTGCACTCGACTAAAGCCTTTGCTTCGGTTGAAACAGCGGTTATTTTCAGGAGCTCCAGTCGGCATTCGTGTTGTCGAGATGCAAGAGCTTGCATTAAGATAGTCCAATGAACACCATGTCTTACTGCAAGATCAATTATGTGAACCTTTTTCGCCTCGGCAACATTTTCTACAATGGCCTGGATCCCTGCAAATTGTGTAACCTTAGCAAAAGGAAATTCTTGATGGCACGCCAATACAATGGGGTTCATGGTCATCATCGCCTCATCGATATTGAACAATGGTTTCCACTTTAAACCCTTCGACGAACTTCTTTCGATCTTCTCTCGAAGCGCTTCGGAGAAATAATAGACCACTCGCTGAATCGGATTTCCAGTCTTTGACGACATGTAGTCACATTGTTTCAGCAATCTGCTTGCACTTTCATATTGTTGGTACCCTATTTTCTCAGCAGCAGCTAGAAGAAGCACGGCAAGCTCGGCATCTCTCGTCTCCCGATCCAACAATCCCGAAAAAGGAACATTAAAAGGATATTGAATCATGGAGATTCCGCCAACAGTTTGGCCACATGACTTTACAAACATCTCTCCAGCAATCCTCATGATTTCTTCTGTCGAAAATTTTCGATCTCCATCATCCCGAGCGTCGGATACGGTTATATCATCGTGGGCTCTTCTTTCCCCGTGAAATCGTTTGAATCCGTTGCCGTAGTTGTTCAGCAGTCCAAGCGAAGACAAACACAGAGGCTGCTGTTTCCCCTTCTTTGCCTCATCAATATCCTCACAGATTCCATAGTTGATCTGACCAAGCTCCGCGATTTCATTGAAACATGTCGGAATCAATGGAGATTGAGCATTGAAACTCACTCCATCAAGAAGACCGCAATCCTTAAAATTCTGTTGTTGCTGTTGCTGCTGCTGCGGATCTTGTTTTGATAAACCGAAACCTGTGGCAACCATTGATTCATCTCCATAGAATCCATAACAAGGAAAGGAATCAACAGCTACCATTTCACCCGACTCTTCAACTCCATAAAATCCACTTGGTTTCCCTTGATTACCGACGTTACAGCTCTCCAATTCTTTGTCAGAAGAGCTCAACTTATCTGGAGCTGCATAAATACTAAAGTCATCCCAAGAACACGCATCATTCCCCATGGTATACAGCAATGGAAACTAATACGACGAATGAAACTAAATAGAAAGCAGTCAATAATTTCAACAATTTCTATGCTGCAAACAAGAAGATTTTGATGATTCCAAGGTTGCCTGCATCATTTACTGTAATCAAACTATGTTACTCAAAATCGAATATGAACAAATTTCTTTTTCGAATATATGACCGATTCGGATATTTTAGACATAAACACTTAAAAAAATGAAGTGTCGGAGTAATATTTACATGTCGCGATCTACCTGATATCATAATGTCGGGGAAGTAATGAATCGGACAATTGCATGGTTACAAGCACTAAGAAAAACATAGAATGGCAAGTAAAACAAGAAACAACAGATCAAATGAATAGGACATGAGAATGAGATCTTACAATGCAGCCTGCAACAGAGGCTGGAGCTTTGTAATTGACAGCCAAGTAATTGACTTGCATTTTGTCCTTAATCATTACAACCATTCTAAAATTTTGCTCCACTGCCACTACAACTTATGGTTGGTGTTGGTGATGACATTAAACAACCAGCGTGAAACGCCACTCCTCTTCTTCTTAACGACACAACCGGCGACGGCTAACTCCGACCCACCAATGCTTTCCTTAATGGCCACGGAATCCAACTCTTTAAACGCCAAATAACAAATGTAAGCTCAGACAAAAGCAATGGAGTCCACAAAAGAAATTCAATAATCATATTTGCTATAAATGAAAAAAGAATGTAGAAATTTCAGCAGAATTTAGAAGCTCACACTTATTTTCAGTTTACACATTTGAAAATCAAAGCTCACTACAAGATTTTCCTACTAAACAAACAAAGGGTAAGAAAAAGTAACAAAAATGAAGAAAAAAAATAAAGAATAATGCAAACACTTATCCAATTACAAGGACTGAAAAGACCAGAGGCTTTTGCTCTTCCAGAAATGGCTTTGGTAAAGGATACTGCAAGTTTGCAACTATGAATTTCCTTCTTATTTTTTCCGCTCCATTTTTATTTTCAGTTTCTTTTTGGCTTATATAAGTACCTATAGCATAACCACTTTTTCATTTAAGTATCTAAAGTATTTTTTGGTCAAAATAAGTACCTAAAGTTATTTTTTAGTCAAAATAGGTAGCTAAAATATTTCTTGTGAAAATAGGTACCTAAACTATTCAAAATTTTTCATCTATGTTCTAAAAAAGTTGACATGTGACATTAATTAAAGAATACTTTAGCTACTTAGATAAAAAAAATAATACTTTAGGTACCTATTTTGACCAAAAAGAAAATTTTAGGTACTTATTTTGACAAAAAAATACTTTATATATTTCAATTAAAGACATGAGGTAAACCCAATTGAAATTGATTTATTAATTGAATGTAAATTTTGCATGTAAAATTAGAATATAAACTGTGTATGATAAATTGTAGTTGAGCTTTATGAATCTACCGTTGTGTTTGATTGTACTTTTGACTGATTGCCTTTTACTCTTGGGAGAAAAAAGAGTTATAAGCAAAAGAGTGTAGCTTTTGGTTATATGAATCTCATGTGGAAATGCTCTGCAGATACCTCGGAGGGGAAGGACACAACAATCAGACAGAAAAGTTCAATGCTACGAGCCAGCTACTATGAAATACTTAGGCTATTTCCCAGCATTAACACCTGCCGAGGTTAGTGGTGTTCCGGATTACATTTACTAGAATTACTAATGAAATAGTATTTTATATGTTCATTGCTAGACAATAAATGGTTCACATTGTTATTTTTTGCCGAAGCTTCTGGTTGGGTGCATGTACATACATGTAGACCACAGACCACTTCTGTGTTTTCTTGTTTGTGTGAATGGATGTATAATGTTTCTACTGCTTATTGTAATAACTGTCTCTATGGTATGCTTAGGTCAAGGAGCGTGTGGAACAAGCCCGGAAAGCACAGAAACTGTGGGCAAAAAGTAGTTTCAAGGCGGATTCTTTTAAAATATATTATTGAACACCAAGAGCTGATATGCGAGTAAGGATTCTGTTATTTATATGGAGAGTGATTTTCTCATATATTTTTTTAATTTGTTTCATTTTCCCTTTTTCTCACATTAAAAACTTTATATTCTGCAATTTTCTTTTATGTATTTTCTATTTTCTGTACGCCAGAAAAGTTAAATGTGTTACTTGAATGCTTTTATGTGATCTATTGTTGCATTGTCTTACTTAAGAGTCTCCTCATGTGATACTGGGAAAACAATGGTCGATGCCTCTTTAGGAGAGATCATGACTACATGTGAGAAGATAACATGGCTTCTTTCAGAGGGTGAAAAGTGGCTCAAGCCTGAATACCAGTAATTCTTGCTTTTGAATTTATTTCTCCTTTCTAGATATTCTTGGCTGTATAGTGTATCCAGACAAGAGATTATCCACAATTGCATGCATCTTACTTTTTACCAGTGAATTTGTAGACTCCACTGACCTTTATTTGCGTGTGGAAATCAAGCAATTATTTGTTGCATGTGTTTACTTTGTTGTGCCATCAAGATTCTGTCAGCAAGCTTTGAAGCATAATCATTGAAAATGGATGCTTTTATTCTACAGCAGCATTATTTTGAATACTTCATAAAAATTGGCTTTTAAGTGGGTTACTATTATTTTGGAATCGGTTACCAGTGTTTGCTATCATTAAACTCTGTGTTACTATGTCAGTATTCATTTGAACTTGTGCAGATCTTCTGGAAGATCAATGCTTCACAAGATATCCAAAGTGGAATTTCACCCACTTGGGGTAATTGGGGCTATTGTTTCATGGAATTACCCTTTTCATAATATTTTTAATCCAATGCTTGCAGCTGTGTTCTCAGGAAATGGTGTGGTAATTAAGGTACTTAATGATGGATCTTAATGCTTTAGTCTCCTTTTATCCTTTATCTTTATTAGTTCCAGAACTGCTCTCTTGTCTCACTGGAATTGACAGTCATTTTTTACACTTTATCACTATGTGATTGTAAGTGTAGGTTTCCGAGCATGCAAGCTTTTCTGGATGTTTCTACTTTCGGATAATCCAAGCGGTTCTTGCTGCCGTTGGAGCTCCCGAAAATCTGGTTGAGGTCATTACAGGGTATGTATTTATCCCAATTATTCTGCACATACTATGCTCTTGGTTTTTATTTATCTAATTCTAATTGACTTCTCTTTCATAGCTTTGCTGAAACAGGAGAAGCGCTTGTATCTTCTGTTGATAAAATCATATTTCTTGGGTCACCAGGTGTAGGGAAGATGGTATGATCTCACTAATTGGCTTTTCTGTATTAAATCTATATATTTCCTCGATACTAATTACAAATGTGATTTCACCTTCCCATTTTTCAGTTTGGATTTTATCATTATCGGTTACATGATCTTCGAGCATGTTATGATACTTTACAAGCATATTTTGAGAACTAATGTTCTTTAATACTAATAAACTACTTTCTCATTTTCGGTTTTCCTCCGTTCATATGTTAGTTTTCACAGCTAGAAATCTTGTTGCTGAGGGAATTCGTTATTAATTTAGTTTTATCTTGATGGGACTTCTTTTATTGTTTTAAGTGCAAATGGATTAACATGTTTGCTTTTATTGCAGATAATGACAAAGGCCGCTGAGACCCTTGTATCAGTTACACTTGAGCTCGGTGGGAAAGATGCTTCTATCGTGTGTGAAGACGTAGATATTCCACATGTAGGAACCCTTTCCACCTGTTTTGACAACTAATACGGTTGAACATATCTATATTTTGATCGAGAGCTGAAATCGCAGTGATCAATGCTGTTGAGAATGACCGTTTCCCATGATGTAGGTTGCGCAAGTTGCTGTTAGAGCCGCTCTTCAATCAAGTGGACAGAACTGTGCTGGAGCTGAGAGGTTTTATGTTCACAGGGATATTTATACTTCATTTGTCAATCAAGTGACTAAGATTGTGAAGTCCGTTTCAGCTGTAAGATGTCCCTTCTAACACCTCCTCCGCGAAAAATGTGCCTGTTTGGGCCAGTAATAGCTTGTTCTCTACAATGTTACATTAATGTTAAGTCTAAACCAGTGTTGTCAAGGCATGTGCTGCCTTCACCTTATGCCTTAGCATTTTCAATAAAAGTGCCTCAAACCTTTTTGGGTCAGGCTCATTTGGTCGGGCACATGCTTAATGTGCCTAGGCACGCTTTTTTTAAGGGGATAGGCATAAGAACAGCTGCCTGATTGAATTTCTCTTTGATTTCATCTATGTTTCACTTTTTTTTTCATCTGATATACTTTCCTACTAAGAAAGGATAATATCAATATCTATAGTTCACAATATTTGAGCATTCAACAACAAACATTTACTGTAAGGAAAATCATGCATATTTAAGTTCACAACAAACATTTACTGTAAGGAAAATAATGTAACAAAGAAAAGGAAAAGAAAAAGAAAATAACAAAAGAAAGTAAAAAAATAACAAAAATCAGAAATCAGAAAATAACAAAAAAAATTATAATATGTAGCGCAGCTACAGTGCAACGCCAGTTATAGTGTGCAACTGTAGGTCGTCACAGTCTAGCATTAAAGTGACAATGGGCTGGAATTGAAATTCATCTCTAAAGTGTAGATTGCAGCTACTCGAGCGATGCGCTAGAATTGGTCTAAGTTACTTTCCCCAAACTCATTGCTCAGATTTTACTCTATTTCCTTGCATCAAATTTTCTTTATTCTTAACAATTCCCAATTTTGAATTTAGAATTAAAATATTGTAGGAGGTTGGGTTTCTATCATTTTTAAAATATTATAATTTTTTTAATAATTATCGATATATGCTCTATTGATCAACTAATAAATTTGTTTCACTTTTTAAAATGTCAAGATTCAAACCTTGAGCGTTATTTTCGGGATTTAGCGTCACATAATACTAAACTAACTTTTTTTTGTAATCTTCTTAGAGCTTTCTAATTGGAAGAGATGTTAGATCCCCTAAACAATGTTTAGGGTTTATATCCTAAATGGTTGTTCCTATAATAGACTTTTAAGATATCTAATTTGGATTAATCAGTCAATGTATTAGATGGTATAACTTACTAAAAATAATTTTGAACATTTTTTATATTATTTTATTATTTTCAGATTGTTTTGATTTTTTAATTAATTTTTAAAGATTGTTTTAGATTTTTTTTAAATATTATAGTTTTTATAATTATTTTAAATAATTTAAAATTAATTTCCTATGATTTTTAGAATCGACAAAACACTTGATATAATCAAGTATTTTTAATTTGAAGTAATTATTTTATCATAACTTTTTTTAAAATTAAATAGGTTTAATGGTTATTCCTGTCATTGTAATAGACCTAATTTATCATATTTTTCCTTATCGAATTTTTGTATCAATTCCGTCCTCAAAGGTGTTTAATTACATCATTCTATATTTTATTCTTAACTTAAACCTCTAAATTCTAAACCCTAAACCATAACCTTTAACCTCTAAACCATAAGTCTTAACTTAAAACCTTAAACAATAGTAAATATTTTAAATATTGATGCAATTGAACAACCTTGAGAGTTAAATTGATGTGAAAATAATAAATCGAGTCTGACAAAAGTTATTCTTTTGCCATTAAAAATATAGTTTCACGCAAGATTTATTAAAGATCAAGTCACTAAACAAATAATACACAAATATAAATAATTATGCACTTAAATATTTATTAAAAATGAATATGCTCAAAATAATATGTATATAGATTTGTTAAACATGAAAATGCTGAAAATATATTTTCACATTGATGTTCAGACGAATATACAAAATAATGAACATAAACAAATCCTTACAGTAGTTAAAAGAAAACACTCAAATTTCTTGTTGTAGTGTCACATTGGTAATTCCTTCAGGAGATGTAGGCCTGTAATGTCTATCGGTATCAACCTCTTCAATTTCCTAAATGCCAAGTTCCAACATTAAAGGTTTTGTGTGAGCATTTATCTCGAATCGTACAATCCAGTCATTTATGAAACTAATCGAATGAGTTCAAGTAATTTTCTAATCTAGCTCAAGCTTACAAGTCAAACTCGAATGAGCTTGAGCTAGATTTGGTATTTTGAATCGAGTAAAGCTCGAATTTGCTCGATTGGAAAATACCAGATTCACCAAGGAAAAAAACAAGTCTTTACCTGAACCACATCTTCTCCCTTGATGACTCTGTCACAGTTGGACAAGAAGAACAGGGAAACGAAGAGGAAAACGGTGAAGTAAGGAGTGAGATGCGAAGGAGAAATGAAAAAGGGGAATTAGGGATTGAAAGGCGAGAGGAAAATGAGATTGGGGAATTAGGGATTATGGCAATTGAAGGGCCACGGATGTTACCTGATGAAGTGAAGCCGCACGTGACCAGTTCAAGCAATGGGGGAGCAGGCCAGAAAAGGATCAACAGCCCAGTCAACCCAAATGGAGAAGGTTTAGCCCACGGTTCATAGCCTGCAAAGAAGAGAATCTAATATTGTTATAATCTGTTATAAGGACAGCCAGCTGGCAACCTTTCAAAAGACTGAATTAGCCCTGTAACTAAATAAAATATGCTGTATTGAGGAAGGGAAGGATTTTATGAAAGAAATGCATGAACGTTTTCTGTAATCTCTCTCAATTTCTCTTCTGAAATCCCTTTCTTCTTCGCTATTTCTTCTCTAATATACCTAGATCATCACAATTGGTATCGAGAGCCTCGGTTCTGGCAAGTAATCAGGAGCATGACAAAGAAAAATCAGAATATGGAAGCTGATTTATCTGGGTTGCAAAAGCAGATGGAGGAGCTAACAGCCTTGGTGAAACAAGGCCGTGATGAGACTAATCCACCGAAATGGTGGGAGACTCAAGAAAACAGGATTGCTGCACTAGAGGCAAGAATGTCCACTAATCAAGGTTATGTGGAGGAGCTGTTGAAAATTTTAACGGGCAGAAATGGGGAACAAGAACAGTCTGCAGGTGATCAGGTAAACACTCCTAATAACTCTAAGGATGGGGAGAAAAATCCTGTGTTAGTGACTGTAGTGAAGGATAAATCCAGATTCACTTATAAAACCAATGAACAGGGTATACTAAAAGATAAGCCTGATGCTTGTTTCAACCCTAAGAACAGTAGTAGACCTGAGAATCAAATGGGGGAAAATAGTAACAATAGACCTATTATGATTGGAATGGAAGCTGAAAACAGGGGACCAGGGGGTTCTTTTAGCAGTTATGGGTCGATGTGGCATAGACCTAAAATCGATTTACCATTCTTTGAAGGAATCAATCCTAGAGGGTGGCTTCAAAAATGTCTCAAATATTTTTCTATATGTAATGTTCCTACAGAGCAGAGAGTAGAAGTAGCCACTATGTACTTGACTGGAAAAGCAGAAGTTTGGTTTGATGGATATATTATGCAGAAACACCATGTAACATGGCATGAATTTGAAGCAGATCTTTGTCATAGATTTAGTGACAAGACTTTTTCTGATATTGTAGAGGAATTTACTAAGCTGACTCAGAAAGGGACTGTTGAGGCTTATCAGGAAAAATTTGAAGAGCTACAACCTTATATGTTATTACAAAATCCTACATTACATGAGGATTTCTTTGTGTCATTGTTTATCAGTGGACTAAGGGAGGATATTAAACATAGGGTGAAGGCTCTAGATCCTAAAAATTTGCCTGAAGCATACAAACAAGCCAAACTTTATGAATTATCTGTTGATTATGAAAATAGAAGAATGAGGCCTTCTTTTAAAAACCCACCCTACCCAAACCCCATTGTTACTTCTAAATCAGTTTCTCTGCCAGCAATTACCAAAAACACATCAGTTTCTAATCCTAAACAGAGTCTTATGGATTATAGAAGACAAAACAATCTTTGCTTCAAGTGTGGGGAGAAGTTTCTTCCAGGGCATCAATGTAAGTCAAGGAATTTAAATTTGATGATTGAGGAAGAGTCTGCTGTTCCTACAGATAATGTTATTATGGAATCAGATCAGCAATTGATGCAGGAAGAAGAGGCTCTAGAAATCTCGATGAATGCTATTACTGGTTGTATTAGCCATAATACATTAAGGATTCAAGGAGCCATTAAAGGTAGACCAATTAGTATTTTAATTGACAGTGGAAGTACTCATAGTTTTTTGACTCCACAGTGGACTGATGCTGGTATACATGTAATTACACCATATCCTTTGGCAATCACAGTAGCCAATGGACAGAAACTTTATAGTTCAGCAAGATGTAATCAGGTGGAGTGGCAGATGCAAGGGCAATCTTTTGTTCATGATTTCAGACTCCTAAAGTTAGGTGGCAGTGATATGGTGTTGGGAGTGGATTGGATGAAATTATTTAGCCCTATTTTGATGGACTTTAATCAAATGACATTGAGTTTTCAACATCAAGGGGAGAATATTATTATACAGGGACAACAACCATCTAATTTTTTGCAGCAAATTTCTGGAGCTACATTATTGAAAATGACAGCATCAGATTCTCCTATTTTGGGTCATGTGGTTTTGTTGACTATGTCTACAGATTCAAAACCTGTTCCACCAGCTATTCAACCTCTTTTACAGAGATATCAGTCTATTTTTGAAGAACCTACTGGGTTACCACCTACAAGGACTCATGACCATGCTATTCCACTTAAGCCTGACTCTACTCCTATCAATTTGAGACCTTATAGATTTCCACACAATCAGAAAGATGAGGTGGAAAAACAGATTTCTAGTATGCTTTCAGCCTCTATTATTCAGCCTAGTAGGAGTCCATTTGCTTCTCCATGCCTTCTTATCAAAAAGAAGGATGGTACTTGGAGGTTTTGTGTGGATTACAGGAAATTAAATAGCATGACTGTAAAGGATAAATTTCCTATACCTGTGGTTGAAGACCTATTAGATGAACTGCATGGAGCAGTTTATTTTTCCAAGATTGATCTCAGATCTGGTTATTGGCAAATACGGATTAAGTCTGAGGACATATATAAGACAACATTCAGAACTCATCAAGGACATTATGAGTTTAAGGTGATGCCTTTTGGACTTACAAATGCCCCTGCTACATTTCAAGCTTTGATGAATGAATTGTTTAGTTCATTTCTTAGAAAATTTGTCTTGGTATTTTTTGATGATATCTTAATCTATAGTACTTCTATGAATGATCATGTTAATCATTTACGACTGGTTTTCGAAGTACTGCATCAAAATCAGCTGTTTGCCAAGCTGTCCAAATGCTTCTTTGGACAGAATCAGGTTGAATACTTGGGCCATATTATTTCAACTGTTGGAGTTTCTACTGATCCTAACAAAGTGGAAGCTATGAGGAATTGGCCAGTACCTAAGTCATTAAAGTCTCTGCGTGGATTTTTGGGATTAACAGGCTATTACAGAAGATTTATTAAAGATTATGGGTCAATTAGCAAACCTTTGACTCAGATGCTTAAGAAAGACAATTTTCAGTGGTCTGATGCAGCTTTGACTGCTTTTGAAGAATTAAAGAGGGCTATGTGTGTTGCTCCTGTTTTAGCCTTACCAGATTTTGGTAAGAGTTTTTATTTGGAAACAGATGCCAGTTCGGGTGGTATTGGGGCAGTTTTATCTCAAGAGGGCAGACCTATTGCCTATTTAAGTAAGGCTCTCAGTCCTAGACATGCAGCACTCTCTATTTATGAAAGAGAGTATCTGGCTATACTTCTAGCAGTTTCCAAGTGGAGGCATTATTTAGAGAGTAAATCCTTTGTGATTAAAACAGATCATGAGCCATTGAAATATCTATTAGAACAGAAGCTGACTACTGCTATTCAAAAGAAGGGATTGACCAAGTTATTGGGGCTAGATTACACTATTCAATACAGGAAAGGTAAATCAAATGTTGTTGCGGATGCCTTATCCAGACAGTGGGAAGATCAGGGTGACTGTTTTACTATGAACACTACAATAATTATTCCAGGTTGGGTTCATGAAGTGGAAGGGAGTTATAAGGATGATCCTATAGCTACTCAATGGATTTCTGTATTATCTGTTACTCCTAATGATGATCTGCAGTGGAAATTTTCAGGAGGTATCCTTAGATTTAAGGATAGAGTTTATATTGGGGAAGCTGGATCTCTTAGACTACAGATACTTCAGACATTACATGATTCTCCTTATGGTGGTCATTCTGGCAGTCAGGCTACCTATCAAAGGATCAGGTCTTACTTCTATTGGCCTAGATTGAAAGCTATGGTTGTTACTTATGTAAGAGCATGTGCAGTTTGTCAACAGACTAAGGTGGAACATGTGCCTAAACCAGGGTTATTACAGCCTTTACCTATTCCTCAACAGGCTTGGGAAGTTATTACTATGGACTTTATTGAGGGATTGCCTACATCTTTAAGAAAGAATTGTATTCTGGTGATAGTTGACAAGTTTACTAAATATAGCCACTTTCTGGCATTAGCACACCCTTACACTGCTGCAGAGGTTGCCAAATTATACCTAGATTGTGTTTACAAGTTGCATGGTCAGCCTAAAATGGCCATTTCAGATAGGGACAAGACTTTCACTAGCCTCTTTTGGAGAGAGCTAATGAAACAGTTAGGAACGAAGGCTCTATTTAGCACTGCCTACCATCCTGAAACTGATGGACAGTCAGAAAGAGTAAACCAGTGCTTAGAACAGTATCTAAGGGGTCTCTGTTTTTTCCAACCAAAACAGTGGGCAAAGTGGTTGCCTCATGCTGAATGGTGGTATAATACTACCTACCATACTGCCCTTAAGTTAACACCTTTTGAAGTCCTATATGGCTACAAGCCACCTACTATGGTATGGCATACAGACAGTCCAGTACAAAGCATATCAGAGTTAATGCAGAATAGAGAAGAGATCAGGCAATTAGTCAAGTCTCAGTTAGAACAAGCAAGTAATCGAATGAAGCAAAAAGCAGATAAACATCGATCAGAGAGAAATTTTCAGGTTGGTGAATTGGTTTACCTGAAATTACAGCCCTACAGACAGACCTCTCTTGCCCTGCGAAAAAATTTAAAATTAGCAGCAAGATTTTATGGCCCTTATAAGGTTACTGAAAGAATTGGAAAAGTTGCTTATAAACTGGACTTACCTGAGACTTCCCGTCTCCATCCGGTTTTTCATGTTAGTTTATTGAAGAAACATATTGGGGCAACCGTATCGTCTTCAACAGATCCTCCTGTGATGGACGAAGTGGGTCAGTTCAAGATTGAACCAAGTCAGATTCTGGGCAGACGAATAGTTAAGAGACAAAACAAACCGATAACTCAACTATTGGTTCGTTGGACTAACCTGGATGCTACGAACGACACATGGGAGGATTATTCTGTGCTCCGAGGCCAATTTCCGAGTTTTGATCCTTGGGGACAAGGATCTTCTCCAGCGGCGGGTATTGTCACAGTTGGACAAGAAGAACAGGGAAACGAAGAGGAAAACGGTGAAGTAAGGAGTGAGATGCGAAGGAGAAATGAAAAAGGGGAATTAGGGATTGAAAGGCGAGAGGAAAATGAGATTGGGGAATTAGGGATTATGGCAATTGAAGGGCCACGGATGTTACCTGATGAAGTGAAGCCGCACGTGACCAGTTCAAGCAATGGGGGAGCAGGCCAGAAAAGGATCAACAGCCCAGTCAACCCAAATGGAGAAGGTTTAGCCCACGGTTCATAGCCTGCAAAGAAGAGAATCTAATATTGTTATAATCTGTTATAAGGACAGCCAGCTGGCAACCTTTCAAAAGACTGAATTAGCCCTGTAACTAAATAAAATATGCTGTATTGAGGAAGGGAAGGATTTTATGAAAGAAATGCATGAACGTTTTCTGTAATCTCTCTCAATTTCTCTTCTGAAATCCCTTTCTTCTTCGCTATTTCTTCTCTAATATACCTAGATCATCACAGACTCGTCCGAACACAGTTAGTTTCTCGTTTAAATCCGCTATTGGTGTAGTTGTGATAAAAAGCTGAAATGTTTTGCCATCTTTAATCTTTGTGGTTCCAACCATAAAAGCTTCATGTTTTGGACTGTATCACGAGCAAAGATTGTGAGTATTAAAAAACACACATACACATCAAGGGCAAAGACAAACACATATAGACGTACACATGCATGTAATGCCAAGAAAAAGCACATTAAAGACTACCTTATGGGGAGGCGCCTGTGAAGCTTTCTTTTTGATGTCCAATCTTCAATGCCTCCAAGATCTTGTGAATGTCCTCCTAGAATCACATAGTTTTTAATCACGTGGTGGAAAGGCATGCCCTTGAAATGCCCCTTTTGACTGCAAAATCCATTCGGTTTAGGATCTTTGATAAAGATGAATGGCAAACATTGACTTATTACTCACAATTGTGAAAATTAAACATCTTTCAAGACTCCTATCAAAATATATATACTCGAATATATATTGAACACTGATATCAGACACAAATATTTCAAAATAAATATCTGCCAAAATAAAGCTGAAACTTGTGTGTAAAACTCTCTGGCTGACAAAATAAAAAGACAACTCATGTATTAAATGGATGCAACTATGTAGGATCCGCTTACACTATGTAAAACTAATAAGTTTTACATCAATTTATAGCTATTAGATTTACATTTTAGATTTAATTAAAATTTATAACCCATAAATATCTTTTAACTCATAGTAAAATAATATCTCTTTTACCTCGGTCCCAAATCTTAAACCTGAAAATCTATGCATAGGCCCTAAATCCTAAACCTCAAATCTATGTTATTAAACAAATGATTGAGATTAAAAGTAGGAAATGTGAAGATATTTACTAGTATCAATAACATCTATCTATTCTCACTCATCCAACGGTCCTAAAGATGTATAAAACTAAAGAGTTTTACATTGTGTAAGTGGATCCTAACCCATATATATATTATATTTAAGAATCTTTAAAGAGTCATATGTAAAACCTTCATATTCCGAAATATGCTGAACATGAATATCAAACACAGCTACTTAAAAAGAACCTACAGCCTTTTCTTCCTCTATAAACCTTATGTATCAAGTTCATACTAATCTAAAGCAAACAAGAAAAGGTCTAAGTACCCTCGATTACATTACTCTAATCATTGATGGATCAAGGGGTTGGCGGGACGGTCATCTTTCCTGAAAATTTTAAAATCTCATATAATTCAAGTATTTTTTTATATTTTTTATTGATAATATGTTTTCGTCTACTAAAATTTTATAAATTTGCACTCTAAAATTTTATAAGTTCGCTCTCCCCAACATAAACTTTTGTGTTCATACCTATCTTTCACACGAATCTGACTAACATGAATACTCGATAAACTTACCACAAGTCAAGAAATTTGTCGACAGTCTCAGGAGAGCCATCTTTGAAGAGTTCTATAGTTATATAGCCTTTTGATGTGTTTAGAACCTGTAAAAGGAAAATGGTTCAACATGGTAAAATGGTATAGGGAAACAACTAAACATGATGTATGCAGTTATTCCATTGGAGAAACTTACAGCATAACCAGGCAGATCATACTTCTTTGAATCTGCAATCTCATCAACGTGCTGAATCAAAAGATAAATTATTTACCATTTCAACGAGATACTAACCACGTAAGTCAACAGAGAATTCGATGACAAATCCGTAAATAGTTCAGGTTCTATTTATATTCAAATACAAACTTGTTTACGAATAGAATAGAAAGCGCTTTTAAGATGTCATTTAAAGCCTGTTTTAATTGTTTATTGTTCGATTTTTTAATGTTGACATGATTGATTATACATTTATAAACATATTTAGTGTTTACAAATTAATTTATTTGAACAAATTTGAAAAGATTAGAAAATAAACTAACAAACATGAATATCAACGATTTGTTTGATTAAGCTGGGTTTAAGTTTGGATGGAAAACAAATTTACCTCAAAATTTGACAATCCAGTTCCTATTTGATCCCTCGACCTGCATCAATCAATACCGAAAACCGTTTATCGCATAAATGAACTTTCAGATGAAATAAAAAAATGAAAAAAAAAAACAGAGAACAAGCAAACCTTTGAGACCAATGCCTGGAAGTAGCAATCAAAGACGATAACATCAATAGAACGAGCAAGCTGCTAAAGAGAATCGTAACAAAACCGATCCGAGTTGACCTTTTCTGCATTTTGCTTTGAATTAACAAAGCCTGAGGTTTTATTCTTGCCATGAAAGCTTATCTTCAACTGTGGACAAACAAATCCCTATGAATTTGAAAATCTTCAAATATTTATCCAAACAGAAACAGATTCGTAATATAATCGCATCGGGGCAGATCCATCACAATCGCATCACCAGGAAAATTCGAACTGACAACAAACAACTTTACTTGAAAAGTTACCTTTGAAATTGGCGGAGTTTGAGCTTTACTTGTTCGAAGGACTAATTTGGAAGACTTGATTCAGAGGTTTGCTTTCAATCGTTTCTTAATAAGAGATTTAGGTGAAGGATTTGGTTCATTTAGCGAGTCGCCATGAACGAGTCGAGCAATTCTCGCTGGAACGCGAACTTGTCTGTCTAAAGTCAACGGTTGTGATTGTATCAGGAGTTTGATGTTGGTGCCATAGGACCCCACTGGCCTTACTTTTCCTCTCCTAACGCGTTAGATTTTTCTTCTCTTTTCAAATTTATTTGAACTATTTAAATTAGATGGGTTAATTTCAACAAACAACTTTAAACTATCACCCAAATTTTAAGTTGATCACTAAACTTTTAAACCTTTTTAATTGAATCCAAAAAGATGTGTGAATTTGAAATTTATTGGAAATCTTTTACCAATTTGTTTATTACACAAAACATTTCAAATTGTTCCTCAAATTCTAAATTGATCCTTAAACTTCAAAAAAAGAAAGACCACAAAGGATCAATCAAGACGTTATATCAACCTAGTTGTCAATCTAACATTAAATTATAGCTAACAATTGTAAACAAATTAAATTCATATTTTGATTAAAGTTCAAAAATAAAATTAGAAATCAACTCTTTTGTCAATGTAATGAATGTTTGAATGATCAAAATTATGAATTTTCAAAGTTAATTGATTAAAATAAAAATAAGAAAACAAAAGTGATTCCAAATTTTAATGAGCATCAATTTAGATACTTTAATGCTTTTTTCCAAGGAGAAGGAAATAATTGGCTAATCAAGTGACCTCGTGGTAAAGGAATTATTATTATTCTCGAGAATCCAGGTTCAAGCGTCATAGATACCAGGAGTGTGAGCGTTCAATATTGAAAGGTTGAGAGTTTTCTTTGAACATATATTACTTTTTATTTACCACATATTAATAAAAAAAACATGATTGATGAATTGGGTAAAATTTAGTTTATATAATTATATATTTTCTAATATTTCCTATCTTATTTAAAGACTAACGTTTAAAATTTGAGATTTAAAATTTTAAATATATGATTTAAGGTCTTAAATTTAATATTTTAATATTAAAATAGACAAATTAAGTATGATTTATAGAATATATACCTCAAATGATAATCCAATTTAGACAGATTTTTAATTGTTATATTTGGTTTGTGTAGCAGTAGCTTAATAATGTTAATTAATAAATCAGTTAGTTAGTTAGACCGGTTAGTTTGTTATTCTCAGCTGCATATAAACTATATGTAATTGTGTTATTCAAGATCAATACAGTTCATTCACATTACTTCACTTCTTCTTCCTGGTTCAAGCTCCACGAAAGAGTTTTCTTCTTCTTATATGGTATCAGAATATTTTTTGTTCACCTTCCAGCTTTGCCATGCCTGATTCTTTGAATGATCGCTTCAACAATGGGGGTGTGTTTGGTTCACGGAATGTAAGATTACCAGTGGGAATGAAATTACCGGTGGAAATAAGATTACTGGAAATGTTGTATTTTGTGTTTGGTTCGTTTAGCAGGAATGTAAGATTATAGTGTTTGGTTAAAGGAATAAAAGATTATTGGAATATATATTTTATCAAATTGTCCTTATTATATATTTATTTTTTAACAACTTGAATTCTACTATAATTAATTTATATATTTTCTTTAAAAAATTTAAATTCATAAAATTTATATAATTTTTTTTACAAAATTGAAAATATAAATAGGTTAATGAAAGAGTAAAATTTTATTTTAACCCCTGAACTTTATAAAAAATTCTAATTATAGAATTTTTTTTGTAAATATAAAATAGTTTAAGGATAAATTTGTAATTTAATATTTGTAGATTTTTTTTATTCTACGACAGAAGAATGATATTTTTTGAAAAAAAAATTAAGGGCATTTTAGTCCAAAACGTCGGTAATCCAACAATACCTAAAGAAAGGGGGTAATCATATTACCTAAAGAAAGGGGTAATCATATTACCGGTAATATACCTCTAAAATACCACTATTAGGAATAAAGGATTACCGGGGTTGGAAATATTTGTCAACTAAACGAATGAATGACATTTTATTCTCCCGATAATTTAATATGAAGCCAACCAAACGCCCCCTAGGGGTAATCCGTACTAGTTGCAATAATCGGATAACCCTGACACGATTCTTGTCACGCAACCACCTTCCAAGGATAATTGTCACAGTAGGAAACGCTCCATGATGCTTGTGTTGTCTGTAAAAAAATAAACTCGGCTTTGTTGATGGTTTCATTCCCGCTCCTGATCCATCCTTGATAGAGCAGTTTAATGCTTGGGCGAGAGCTAATAATATCATGTGTTATTGGATCTTGAATTATGTCTCCAAGGATATAGCTGTGAGTCTCTTGTATCATTCTACTGCAGCTGATATTTGACGAGATCTGGGTGATCGTTTTCAACAATCAAATGGACCTCGAGTGTTTCGGTTAGAGAAAAAGTTGAACGACTTGGTGTAAGGTCAGATGAACATAAGAACCTATTATACTCGTCTCAATATTCTTTGCGATGAGCTCTTCTCCACTAAGTAGGTATGTTCCTGTATGGGATCTCCTTCTCAGTCTGTTGACGAAGCATCGACTCCTCGGCAGTGTCATCAACTGATCGCAATTCTTACTTCTCAGCTGCAAGCAACATCTAGAGAATTTGTCAGCTTCGTTATTGCCTCAATGCAAGGTGAGATTTTAGCGCACATCAAAAACTTTTCCCTCGAGTTATCAAAGTGTTTCTTGATTCGGGTGCTTCCGGGCATTAGGGGTGGGCAAAACTCGATTTGACTCGAAAAAATCGATTTTTTTAATTTTCTGCCGAGTTATTCGAGTTATTCAAGTCAACTTGAATTATCAATTCGGTTTTCGAGTTCGGCTCAAGTTGAAATTTTGAAATTTTGTGTTACTCGGAAAACTAAAAATTTGACTACGTATTTTGACATTTTTACAATTTAGTCCTGATTTCATTATTCCTTCAATTCATCCTTTATTTTAAGTCTATTTTTTTATCAAATTTGAACTATATGCTCCTAAACCATCGTAGAATATATATGTACTTTCAATTCCTCTTTTTGATAATAAATTTTTTTATTTTTCAATTTAGTCCTCAATTTTTTATAATTTTCTTATTCCTTCAATTCAACCTTTATTTTAAGTTCGTTTTTACCAAATTTGAACCACATACTCCTAAACCATTATAGAATACATATGTGCTTTCAATTCCTATTTTTAATAAAAAATTTCTATTTTTCAATTTAGTCCATTAATTTTTTTATAATTTCCTTGTTTCTTTAATTCATCCTTTATTTTAAGTATGTTTTTTACTAAATTTAAACCACGTGCTCTTAAACCATCGTAAAATATACATGTACTTTCAATTCCTCTTTTTGATGACAAATTTTCTAATTTTCAATTTAGTTCCTCATTTTTTATAATTTTTATATTTCTTCGATTCATCTTTTATTTTAAGTTCGTTTTTACCAAATTTGGATCACATGCTCCTAAATCATCGTATAATAAATATGTACTTTCAATTCCTCTTTTTGATAACAATTTTTTATTTTTCAATTTAGTCCCTCATTTTTTTTATAATTTCCTTATTTCTTCGATTCATCATTTATTTGAAGTATGTTTTTACCAAATTTGAACCATATGCTCATAATATCACAATAGAATACCTATGTAACTTCAATTCTTATTTTTTTTACTAAAAATGTAATCTCTCTCTTTTTATTTAGTCCTTTAACTTTGCATTTTACTCAATTTTGTCTTTTGACTATAATTGTTTGTAAATTCTTTATTCCCATCAATTCCTTGACTCCTTTATACTCTCATAAATATTTTACCCTTAAAATACTTCGTTAAAATATAATATTATGAATATATTTCACAATTTTAGATTGTATTTGATATATTAAATAATATTTTAATGTGAAAAGAATATAAAATATCTAAATCTTATATGGTTATAGAAAGTAAAAAAAAATGGAACAAACCCTTGTGGTAATACTATAAATAATTATAATAAAATTAGTATAGAAACTCAAATAACTCGACTTGAATTTTTTAAACTCGACTCGACTTGAAAAATATTTCAAGTTAAGTTCAAGTTGTAAAATACGACTCATCGACTCGAATAACTCAAAAACTTTTGACTAGACTCGACTCGACTCGATCGAATGCTCACCCCTATCAGACACTTGTTTCTTAAAAGGTAGATTTGATTCTTTGCATTCTATTACTGGTAGTAACATCATTCTACCAGAAAAAACTGTTGTTTCAGTTTCTTTTGCTGATAATATTTGGTTATCTTCCAAATTTATTCTGCGAGATTTGATGTATGTTCCTGAGTTCAGGTTTAATCTGTTGTCAGTTGGATGTTTGATGAATAATGCTGATTTGAATGTGTTGTTTTGTAAATCAAAATGTTTGATTCAGGACTTATGTCAAGTGATTGGGAAGGTTGAGCTGCTTCAAGGCCTATATCTACTGCAGATACCATTTGTTGAAAATTTAGTTGACAACAATTATGTTTCTTATAAAGATTTTAGTAACACTAGTTTGGTTTCTTGGCATGAAATCCTTGGTCATCCTAGTAGTAGTGTTTTACATTTGTTAAAGGATGTTCTACCTTTCAACTTTCAAAATAATAAGATTCCTTACTCAGTTTGCCCTTTGGCTAAGCAAAGACGATTTCCATTTCAAGTTTCCACCACTAAAACGAATCAAGCCTTTGAATTAATTCATTGTGACATTTTGGGGTCATATAAGCATGTTACTCATATGAATCAAACTTCTTTTTTGACATTGGTTGATGATTTTACTAGGGTTATTTGGATTTTTTGTTGCAACATAAATCCGATGTGAGCACCATTGATCACCATGATAAAACAATTGATTGGTTATGATATAAAAGGATTCAGGTCTGATTATACTCCCGAATTGAAGTTTACTAAATTGTTCTCTAAGCTGGGTATTGTTCATCAGTTTTCCTGCGTTGAAACTCCTCAGCAGAACTCAGTTGTGAAGAGAAAGCACCAACATTTGTTGACTGTTGCTAAGACATTGTTTTTTCAGTCTAAAGTACCTATTCGTTTTTAGGGAGAATGTTTACTTACTGCTACATATCTGATCAACATGCTTCATTCACCTATTCTGGGTAACAAGTCTCCCTATGAAGTGTTATATGGTCACCTGCCCAACTATGATTTTTTTGAAGGTTTTTGGGTGCCTTTGTTTTGTATCCACTTTGAAGGTTCATCGAGATAAATTTTCTGAGCGAGCTTTACCAGTTGTCTTTCTTGGTTACTCGCCTGGAGTAAAGGGGTATAAAGTTCTTATTGTACGGTCAATGAAGATTGTCATTTCTCACAATGTGGTTTTTCATGAGAATGTGTTTCCTTTCTACACTATCAATGATGTTGTCATTGATCCTTTTGACATTGTTTTGTCTAATGTTTCAGATGATTCCACAAATGAGGCTTATGAATCTTATGTTCCCTTTATACAGTCCCACAAGATTCTGCAGGAGATGATGCTTCATCATAGGCTCATGCTGATTTGATATGTGCATCTCAAAATTCTTCCCATGAACAAACCGAGGGTGTTAATGTTGAACATGTTCCTGGGGAAATTGATGAAGTCATTCCTGAAGTGCCGGTAGTTCGGTGGTCATCTCGTGTTGTTCACAAACCTTCATATCTACAAATATTCGATTCAGCAACATCTTTCATTTTCAAAATTGTCACCTGAAAATGGCACATTCGTGGCAAACATTTCTTGCCATTCTGAGCCTTTATGTTATCATCAAGTTGTTCGTTCACCTGTTTGGCATGCTGCTATGGAAGAGGAACTTCAAGCCATGGAAGATTTGAAGACATGGACGGTGGTGACTTTACTTGAAGGGAAAAAGGCTATTGATTGCAAATGGGTTTGTCGTATAAAGTATAAATCTGATGGTACGATTAATGTTACAAAGCAAGATTGGTGGCTAAAGGCTTCACTCAGGTCAAAGGAATTGCCTTCATTGATACTTTCTCTCCGGTGACTAAAATGATTTCCTTCAAGCTTTTGCTTGCTCTTGCTGCTACACATCAATGGCCTCTCCTGCAGCTTGATATAAACAACATTTTTTGAATGGCGTTCTTCAAGAAGAAATCTATATGAAGTTACCTTTTGATTACAAATCCTCTTCTGGATCGAATTTGGTTTGTAAACTTAACAAATCAATTTACGGACTCAAACAGGCATCCAGAAAATGGTTCACTACTTTTTCCAAGGTTGACCTTCAGCTTGGTTTCACTCAGTCTCCTGTTGAGCATTCTCTATTTATAAAAGGGTCAAGTGATCGTTTTATGTCTCGTTTGGTCTATGTGGATGACATCGTGTTAGCTGGAAAGAATATGATTCTTTTGGATGAGGTTTGATGTCATCTTCAGCGGCATTTCAAACTAAAGGTTTTGGGTCATCTACGTTACTTCCTTGGTTTTGAAATTGCTCGTGGTAATTCTGGTACTTCATTATCTCAACGAAAGTATGCTTTAGAGTTATTAACAGATACAGGTTGTCTTGGAAAGAAACCTGTGGAATGTCCTATGGTGTCTATTGTGAAGTTAAATGCCACTGATGGGCAACTTGTGCTTAATCCTCAGCTCTATAGAAGATTGGTGGGCCTTTTGTTGTATCTTACGCATATTAGACCAGATATTGCTCATATGGTTCATGTGATAAGTCAGTTTGTTTCTTCCCCTCGTGTTCCTCATATGCAGGCATTGCAACATCTGTTGGCTTACATTAAGCAGTCCTTGGTCTTGGTCTTTTCTTTTCATAAAAATCTAACATGCAGCTACGTGGTTTTATGGATTCCGACTATGGTTCTTGTCCAGACACTAGAAGGTCCACTTCTGGTTGTTGCACATTCTTTGGTGACAGCCTTATTTCATGAAAAGCAAAGAAAACAAGTTACTGTCAGCAGGTCATCTTGTGAGGCCGAGTATCGTGCTATGGTATATTCGACATGTGAGTTAATTTGGCTGGCTCCTTTGCTTTCATCATTCAACATTCCGGTCCAGACTGCATCATTGTATTGTGATAATCAGGCTGCCATGCACTTGGCTACCAACCAGCTCTTTCTTGAGCGTACCAAGCACATTGAAGTAGACTGTCATTTTGTTCGACAGAAGGTTACCTCCGATTTTTTGAAGCTTCTTCATGTCCGTTCCTCTCATCAGCTAGCCGACATCTTCACCCAGACTTTACGATCTCCAGCTTATAAATCGTTTATTACCAAGATGGGTCTTATTGACATCCACGTAGCTCCAACTTGAATGGTGTATAGCAGTAGCTTAATAATGTTGACTAATAAGTCAGTTAGTTAGTTAGATCGGTTAGTCTATTATTCTCAGTTGTATATAAACAATATGTAATTGTGTTATTAAAGATCAATACATTTCATTCACATTACTTCACTTCTTCTAACTGGTTCACAATAAAGTATAGTTTAAATGAATCGAGTTTGAATGCAAGGATGGATTGAGGTAGTGGGGGTATTCGCCCCTTGCAATTTAAAATTATCGTATATATTTTAAAATTTTATGTATTTTCTATTGAAAATCTATTTTCGCCTGCCGAAATTGATAAATCCGTCCCTTTTAAATTTTTAGAGGTTTGCCCCTAGCATAAAATCATGTGTTCATCCCTATTTGAACGAATAAAATTATGTGCTTGTTCATTTATTTAATTTTTAATGTGTTCATGTTCGATTTATGTTCGTTTAAATTTTTAGTATTGTATTCATATTCGTTTATTTTATTTTTTAATGTGTTCATCTTTATTCGTTGAGTGTTTGAGAACATATTCACTTAAAGTTTGTTAATATATTCATTTAGTGTTGGGCAATACTCTCCTTTTACTCTTTTATTTGCTAATAGTTCTTAAGTTCCTTAAGCTTTATAGTTTGAATTCAAAAGTTTATCTTATATTCAATTTAGTACATATCTTCATCAATATTTAAAATATAAAAATAAAATAGAACTCAGAACCAAGTAAATAATTTATAAATGAGTCAATAAATGAGCTTATAAATGAGTCAATAAACGAGCTAACAAAGGAGCTTGTTCGTGAACATAAATAAACAAAACACACATATATTATTGTTGTTTGTTTATTAAATGAACGTAAAAATTTTGTTAATATTTGTTTATTTAACATAATAAACGAACATAAACAAATGATTTACAACCAATTTGTCAACACTCATTTACGCTAGGGGTGTATTTGGGGTTCAATTCGATTTAGTTTCTTAAAAAATATGAACATAATCGCACTTTGTGGGTTTTAAAATTTTGATACTGAAATCGAAACCGAATAACACAAAAACCACAATTTTCATTTCGATTTGGTTTAGTTCGGTTCTGTTTTGTGATTTTTGACAGTTCATTGTTTTTCAAACTCAACCTAAAAAAGCAAATTTTAAGCTTAAATCGAGTGCATGTATATAAATTTAAATTCATAAAAAATATTGGTTTTAAGATTTTATTTATTTAAAATTTTCTTATAATAAATTTAAAATGAATTTGTTTTGAACACTTATTTTCTTTTATTTTTTTTTTCATTCGGTTTGATTTAGTTCACACGGTTTCTATATGAAAAATTGAAATCGAACTGAATTGTATAATTATTTTTTAAACCGAATCAAAATTGAACTGAAAATTAAAAAACTTAAATCGAACCAATTTGTATAATTTACATCCTAGAAACAAGTAATAATTTACATCCGAGAAACAAGTGAGCATTGATTATCTTGTTTATACTCTCTTTTCCTTTCAATTTTCCCTCTCACATCTGTTTGGATCATTGGAAAGAAAATCACAAGACTGACAAGAAATCCCTAATTATTCTTTTCCTTTCATTTCCCATACAGTTCCATAACAAACCAGAAGGTGAAAACAAGTAAACAGATTCTGTCTAAAGAAAAGGAAAAGGCTTAATTATAAAATAAGTATTCAAACTATACTCTCTTTCCTGAATAGGTGCCCAAACTTTTTTTGAATTATTTAGGTACCTAACATTACAAAACGTTATCACTTTTGGTGCCCAAACCATAACGACCGTTAAAATAAAATTTCGTTAAGTGACACTCACGTTCTAGTAATTTTGAAAATTTTATTTAGAATAAAAAAACTTAAAATTATACTATTTTTCAAGAAAAGCCCATTTTTTAAAAATTTAAAAAACCTCCCCAAACTTTAAAAAACCTAAATCTAATCCCTATACCCACTCTGGCCGCCACCACTGTCGTCGATCGAACCTCTACCCAGTCACGCCTCCACTAACAACCAATTATCCGATAGCAAGAATGACCATCACCTTAAATCGCGACTCCATTGTGCCTTGACGACCATCTCGACAGCAAGAACGACGTTGTTTGACTAGGGAGATGGTAAGGACGGCGTTGGCAACGGTGGTCATGACCAACAAGGGATGTAAGGTTAGGGTTAAGGTTGGAGATTTGAGATTTTTAGAGATTTGAGTTTTTTTTAATTTTAAATAAATTGGGGTTTTTAAAACAAATATAAACATATTTTAAAGTTTTTTAAAATAAAATTTTCAAAATTACCAAACATAACATGTATTACTTAATGGTGGAATTTAACAGCAGTTACATCCCAGACACCTAAAGTGATAACGTTTGTAACGTTAGACACTTGATGATTTAAAAAAAAATTGTACCTATTGAAAAAAAATATAGTTTAAACACTAATTTTATAATTACGCAAAAAAAAAGAAAGAGAGAGCAATGATTAGGAAGAAAAATATATCAAAATTTTCTTTCAGGCTGAACTGTACGAAAGCGTCGAGCACCACTGATATCATACAAACGGGTTTGAGTCAGGTTTGTCACGTGATCGTCTGATACACTGATTCAGTCCGAGTACGAAGTTGAAAATTTTGATTGGATGGGTTTAACCCACGTGTCTAGTTATCATTGGTCTACTGGTTTTTAGCTTTTTTGGAAGATCGTGCCCGATACTCATTGTAATCATTATTTATTGTTAATTATATTTTTCATGTTTTGTTTATGTCATATACTCCTCATTTTACAATTTTTTTTTATTTTAGTCTTTTATTTTTTTTATTTTCACTAATGAGCATGGTATTTAGTGATAAAATTTAATTTTGTTTGTGGAATGAAAATATTTTATGATTATTTCTTCTTAATTTATTAATTTAGTGATAAATTATATCATAGACCACTCTATTATTAGTAAGTTTGTAATTGAGTCATCATATTTTAAAAAAATATAACTGAATCATTGAATTAATAAATTGCAACAACCAAGTCACGGTACCATTAAATATCAATAAACAATTTGACGTGTAATATTTTATTCATGCAAAATCAAACATGTGCTTAATTTTTATGGATGAATTACATCACATGTCATTGTATTATTAGTAAATTATGTTTGGGTCATAACATTTCAAAAAGTTGCAATTTAGTTGTTATGTCTAGCCGTTGTCTGTGGTGGTTGATAAATCTCAAATTTTATTATAAGATTCACTTTAATCCCTTTGTTCAATTTAACTAATTTAGATCATTGAATGAAGCTCATAATCTTCGAGAAGCGCAAATGACTTTGACTACTATCACATGTAACAAAAAATCAATTAAAAGTCTTTTCTAAAAACATATTTTCTAAGTCTTTTAATGTCAGTTTAAGATTTAACGACACAATAATCTAGTTGTTGTAAACAATTTATTGAGTGACTTGATTGTAATTTATTGAATTACACTATTTTTTCATATAATGAGACAGATTTTGCTTAATACTTAATTAAAAAAATAGATACTTAAAATAGACTATCTTTTTTGTCTAAATACCTAATCACCTAAAGTATTCACATTTTTCATCTATACATCTGAAATATTTTTATGGTTAAAGTAGATATCTAAAGTATACCACTTTTTCATCTAGGTATCTAATTTTTTTTTCAATTCCACATGTCAACTTTAGGTAACTAGGTGAAAAAATTGTATACTTTAAATATCTATTGAACTGAGATTTTGATATAACAATAATTTGTAAATTTGATTTGGGACTTAACTGAATTTTTTTAAAAATTATCAAAAATAATTTAAGTCCAAATAAACTTGAAAATAGTTTTCAAATGTTTTTCAATTTAGTAGAACCTTTTCAAAAACATATTCGAACATTTTCAAGCTTTAAAGTCAATTTTCCAAGCATTTTTTGCTGAAAGGATCCCTTCACAAAATGACTAATCCCTCAAGGAAAATGATCAAACCCTTCACCAAAAGGATAGGTCCCTCGTTGAAAAAGGATCGATCCCTTCCCTTAAAGGATTGATTCCTTTCTTGCAACGGTCGAATTATTTAAAAAATGATCGATCTCTTTCACCAAAGGATCAATCCTATAACGCCCTAAAATTTTCTTTAAGGACTAAACTGATAATTTTGTTATTATTGAAGACTAATGTAGTGACTTCCGTGAAAGGTAGGATTAAATATGGGTCTTGGTTAAATGATTTTAATATTAAAAAATGACTTGATGGAAAAATAAGGACTAAATTGTGGAAAAGGAATTACGCAACTCTAAGGTGGAAAAAAGGGAAGAGTTGGACTCTTTATGGAATGATATTCCCAAATGAATTATGGATACTAGCACAAGCAAGGAATGTGAATCATGTGATTTTTGTTGGAAACTCCATCTTCAATCTAAGCCACTAGATTTTAGATATTGTTAGAGATGCGGAAACGGATAAATAATTGTTACTCTTGTTGAGGAATCAAACTTAGAAAGTTCTAAATTCGATGAAGAAAACGGAAGGGTTTGAATGGAAGAAGAAGATGATGGAGTTGTGAAAAAGGATAATGTAAGAATTAGAGTTGTTGGAAAATCAAGAATAAAGATTAAGACAATAAAGACTAAGAAATAAAAATAAATAAAGACAAAGAAGATGAACATAAAATAAATAATTGATAAAGATTGAATGACTTAGCCAAATTAGGTTTATGGTCAAATCATGGAGATGGTGGCGTGGATGATATTGATAGTGGATGATATTGATAATGAAGATAAATATGATGGAAATAGATGGATGACTATCCTAATTGCAATGAAGAGATAAATCGGAATGTGAAGATCTCTCTTACAAAGAACTTGAAAAGAACTCAATAAAAAGAAGCTTCAATTTTTTTTGAAAGAACTAAAATTAGGGATGACAATTTAACCCGAATTCGACATGTTCTGACCCGGTCTAACACGATAAGGTTGATTTTTTTTTTTGAAAAGTTCAGGTTCGGGTT